ATTAATGCGTGAGTGGTATTATGTATAATTCAATTACGGGGATAATATTAATATATATTATTGGACGGCGCTCGTTGAAATATAAATCATATTAACTGCTTTGAAGGTAAATACTTGAATTTGATTTGTTTTCTTCTTTGCTGCGACAAAGAGTTACAAAAATTACAGCTCAAAATCACAGTATTTTTTTCGTGCCAGTGCTGCCTTCGGTAGGCCGGTCAATATATCGTGGATATTTAGAATGACCTCATGAATAAAACCATCAATAATGTGTGCAATAAAGAACAGATCTCAGCGCTTCTATTCTATCGAAATATTCCATTGATATTCTGAGATTATGAGGCATCGATATAGCACAGCATTTACTTCGACTGTCGATTCGATCACAGTAAATAACAACAGCAAATTTACGACGTATGCGATTTTTTATTTTTCATTTCAAAGGTTCCTATATGCAATTAACATGACTAACTCTTTAGTGGGCACTGCTATAATTTAATTTTTAATTTTAACGCAAAAATATACGTAAATATAAATGAAAAGCTTGAATTTCAGTGTTTGTTTTTAATGGTTCATTTCCAAGCTGCAATAAGGCCGGCACGTGCGGATGGTCCGCCCGGGCAACAGCCCGCCAATTTTGCGGAACGATAAATCAGAGCGCGGCTGCAATTTGGTGCTTCCTGGTCTCTTGGGCGCGCCTCCCGAACGAACTCTTCGTGCACCACAGCAACTTCATCAAAATTTTAATCTAACATAACGACTCTTTCTTAGTAAGGCTATTTATGCTCTCCAAGTGATGTCTTTGCGCTGATGTAATTAGATTTGAATCTGGTTTTCGTACAGCTATGCAGTCGCATTCATCTAGTTTGTTCATGGTATTTTGTCTCATGCACTGAACCACTTTCAATTAATTCTAATTGCGAGAAGTTCGGAAGTATGTAAAATATTCTTTTTAATTTATTTACAAGTTATACCTTCGAAGTTTCAAGATTATGAGTTGTGGCTCCCAGTATTGCGCAGCCACAAATTTCTCGCCTAAGATAAGCAGCAACTTTTATTTTCTCTACAATGAAAATTTTCCCATTTTTGCACAACTCACTAATGAGAGTTGAACAGTTAATTGCGTAGTGGAGTTTAAAGTACATTGGCAAGTACTAAATTTATCAGTTATGCTATCACTTGTTCTTATACTGACTGCGGGCATAATAGTAAAAAATTTTAAAAAATGAGGTACACATTTTCCATGAATTCAACATTCAAATTGAACGTTAAGAGAGGCTCAATACTGAGCTCTTCTGAGCTCAGAACACTTCAGATGTGCCTATACCGAGCTCTCTAGAGCTCAGAACACTTCAGAGGTGCCGATACCGAGCTCCCCTGAGTTCAGAACACTTCAGAGGTGCCGATAGCGAGCTCCCCATGAGCTCAGAACACTTCAGAGGTGCCGATAGCGAGCTCCCCTGAGCTCAGAACACTTCAAAGGTGCCGATAGCGAGCTCCCCTGCGCTCAGAACACTTCAGAGGTGCCGACAGCGAGCTCCCCTGAGCTCAAAACACTTCAGAGGTGCCGATACCGAGCTTCCCGGAGCTCAGAACACTTCAGAGGTGCCGATATAGCGAGCTCCCCAGAGTTCAGAACACTCTTCGCTAATTCCTGACAGCACTTCCAGGTGCCGAGGAAATCCCCTGGATGTCCTTAATTTCGCCCTAACCTGGATGTCTTCTAATGATTTAGGAGTTGCGGAAAGGGCTCGTGAAGTCAGACAAATTAGCCGCCTTGGCATTTGAGAGGCTGGAGGTTTTAAATGACGTCTTGTCACGACCGTTCGTACGTTACTGCAGATCTTGCTGCTAATCTGCACTCAAAATTGCTGGAAAGAAAAACAAATAAACTTTAAACAATCCAGTAATTTCTGCTGGTGAATGTTTTCTCCGACACAGAAAATGTTAGAAGAAATGAAAAAATTTGTTCGGTTGAAAAAACCCGACTACTTAAAACTTCTTACGGAGAGTCTGTGCCCCAGCATACAAAGACATAAACAATAAACGACTATATTTTAATTCCAAGGTTTAATATTTTTTCGTTGTTTATCCTTATACTCTCGATCGAATGTAATTGCAAGGCTAAATAAAGTAACAAAGGTCACAAAATTAATGGTCGGGCGCCTACCTCGACCGAGATAAAAACAAGTTACATTACGATCCCCAACAGCAAACCAATAGTCCGTGTTCTTTGCAGCCGTCATGAGACGATAATTAAGAGGAAGAGGGACGGTGGTTCCCTTTTGTGAGGCTTTGTGAGGAGAAGGACGGAGATCGGCTCATGAGATGGGATCAGTAGATTGTTGGAGATCGAGTGGAGCCAGAGACAATGTTTTCTGGACGCAATGAGCCACGGCTGCTCGGTGTCTGAGAAATTCCTGAAAATGGGGAACGCGATAGAATCAAAAATTGTTATTTATTAGAATTGCGTAAGCGTATAACTTTTGATAACATATGTTATTTTTAATTAAAGTGAAGAACCCCGTCGATCCGTCCCTGCTTTGGAATCTGTGAACTGATTCAAATTGAGTATGCATGCACTTACCTAAATGAAAATTTATTTATTAATTATTTATTTTTATTTACATGAGCATATAATTTTAGATCTAGATTAAATTTATTTTTTTATCTACGTGATGAGCCCCCTTAGAGTTATAATCCTGTGTAAGCGTTGCTAACTCCTGTTGTCTTAATTGGATATTTGAAACAATTATTACACGAAAACAATATTCATTATTACCCCTAAACGTGGTGAACTCTTTTCATTACCCCAACAGCTTAAGAACTGGTTCATTAAAGTTTTTGTTCATTCAGTGTCTGCACTAATTCTCATCCCCTGAATATATGAAATGTTAAAACATTACAGACAAAAATCTTCCATTAATAATTAGACCGATCTCTTATTTTCAGGATTTATTAGTTTCTTCTCGACTTAGAAATGCTAATGACAAAGAAGCTCTAAACGGCAAAACCATTAAAGTGAGGTGCTTTGTCATTAATAATTAATGTTAATGTTCTTCCAACAATTACTAAAACTGGTCTTTGTTTGATCGAGGTGCTGTCTTTAGGTAATTAGAAATATTTTTTGCGGCTACGCGTAATTTGTAAACATCGTTTAAGTCTTAATTTAATTTAAGTCTCATTGAAACAAAATGTCTCCAACAAAGTGCCAGGCTCTCAACCTGTCCTCCTGTGTAGAGGCAGGCAGGAGGCTCCTCTTTGTTGACATGCACAACACTTCCATGTCAACAAGTGAACAAATAAAATACTTTTCTGAAGTTATTTTATAAAAAAATCGAGGACTCGGCAGCTCGATCTCGGTCCACCTGACGCTTTCCAGTTTGGCATCTGAGCAGAAAGCAGAGGCCCTTACGAATAGTAATTTATTTTTGAACATGCAACCGCAATTTAGGAAACTGATAATATGAAATGTTTTTTAGGAGAGAAAATTTTTAAGAGAGAAACTTTCATTACTTAAATAAAACATTTATCGCAGTTACATAAAATTTTCCGAACAATTATTTCAAAGGAAAACTTCAATATGGCGCATTCAAATGCAGTCAAACTTATTTCCATGTCAAATATAAGCACAAATTTGAACGAGTAAAGTAAGGACACAGAAAATATTCCGAACACGCCAACTCTAGCACATTTTCGTGAGCCTCGAAGCGACCGAAAACGTCTTTAGGAAGCTACGTGAGCGGAGCAAGCCTTCCAAAGCCTTCATTTTTCTCACTTGAAGCCTGTGGAAATATTGGCCCGAATGTCGCCTGAAAATAAAGCAGTTCCCGGGCAGAAGCGTTCCCTCGATTCGATCTCTTCGGCCTAGGAATATCGGGCACGTCGCAGCTTCCCTCATGGAAGAAATAGAGGGGAAAAAATAGAGGAAAGAGGGGAAAAAAGAGTGCATATAGAGGGGAAAATAGAGGGGAAAAAAGAGTCCAAAAAGATGCAGATGACGCTGCCACAATGGCAGAGGCAAGCTATTGGCAGTAGTAGCATTGTTGCAGCTCTTAGCCACTCGTATAGTTCGAGGTGAATATTTACGGCAGTCACATCCATAAAGACGTCCAACGCATGTGACGTGACAAAAGCCGGCAAAGACTCGCAAAACTAACACTCTCGCGGCCAGAACACTCCGTCGTAAGAAGATTTCCGCACATATTGTCGTATCATATTCAATGCTAGAAAATATTTCAATTATAAATGTACTTGTATTTTGTTACAATTGAATCATTTTTTATTTGAATGCATTTCTTGTTTTACGAATCAAAGTCGTAAATGTTATTTTGGTAAATGGGTCAAAATCTCAGATATTTTATAGAAGGACAAATGGTTGCTTGAGCGTTTCTGCAATTATAACGGAGTTTTTTCTAATAAAAGGAAATGAGAAACTGATTCAACATTTAGTTTTATGTATTTTATCTCCACTTAATCCGGATCAATTTCATCGTATGATAAAACAAATTGAATTCAATTGAAATCTTAGAGAAGTTCCATCCAATTCCATACATAACAAATCCAATTACATCCATTCATATATAATTCCATACATAACAAATTAAAATAGCTTCAATATAAAGGAAATAATACACTTAAAGCTAACAAATTTCATAGTTTTATATCCTCATCCATGAGCTTACTTTAAATGTAAACATTTAAATAATTTCAATAATTGCATTGACTTTCGCGTTATTTTCTGCCAGAACCGTGGTACGTGTACCGTAAACTAATTACATTGTGTATTATCCATAGCGTTTATAGAAACTGTAAAAATTAAGCAATTAATAATATAATTAATGTTATATTAATATTTATATAATTACACATAATTAATAATTAATAAGTTTTAATAAATAATTATATCAATATTAATTTAATAATTAATGATGATTAATTAATAATTAATAATAAATAATGTCAATAATTGTATCGAGTTTCACATTGTTCTGTGTCAGGCGCGTGGGGAGTGTGCTGGTCAGCGTCAGGCTGCGGGCAGGGCGTAGAGCAGCGTACGGTCTGGTGTACCGACCACCTCGCGCGTACTGTGCCCGCTGCTCTGTGTTCTCCTCACGACAAGCCCCCGGACTCCCGACACTGCTACACCACCTGCCAGGGTATAAACCGTACCGTATTTATTATCTTAGTTTTTGTTTATTATTATCTTTATTTGTTATCTTAGTTTTTTATCACGTATTTATTATCTTAGTTTTTGTTTATTATTATTTTTATTTATTATCGTAGTTTTCTTCATCACGTATTTATTATCTTAGTTTTTGTTTATTATTATCTTTAATTATTATCTTAGTTTTTTTTCATCACGTATTTATTATCTTATTTTTTTTTATTTAATTGTGAATTTTGTTTCGATAGAAATCTTGAATCAATTCCGTTGCCTCGTGCATACACTCAGCTGCCTAATTCGTCCGTATATCATTATAAATTTTTTTAATACCCTAGGGGCATTAATCTCAGTCATATAAACTCTGGCGCATTAGAAACATGAACTGCTAAAATTTTTACAAACATTCATAATGTAAGCTCGAAAACTTATTAAATCGAACTATTACAGTTATTTACCCCAATACTTAATCAACAGAGCTGGTACGGAATAGGATTGAATTTCAATTTCAAGGTGTGCATGATGCATTCATTTTCTGCGTTCATTTTACCAATGAATGAATTTATGAATTTCTTTGCTAAAGCAATCAGAATCTTCGACTGTCATTCCATTGCATGCTTTGTCGACGAGGGACGAAGAGAACTATTGTTGTTACCGACAGAGTGGCTTCATCGATCACGTCCTGTGATGACCGCTCCGCAACATCATGCCCGCGTCCTACTAACCTTTCGAAGAATCTCTTTACCTTTCCTCCCGCTAAAGAACCAACCGCGCTCGGTAGCCTCTCGTACATGTTTTCTGGGAATGTCTGCTCAGAAATTAGGACATAAAGCGATTATTTTCAGTGAAGAATTTTTTTCGTGTTAACTGATTTAGTCTTCAGGAAAGAATTTGGCAGTTACGATTTGTTATGGATATTCTTATATGCATGGGCTAGAGATAAATTTTCATTTCTATTACTATCGTGAAAAAAATTGGTCTCATGCCGCTTTGTTACGAGCATTTTCAGAAGACTTTTTACTGAAAACTTTGCATTGTTGTGAGAGTGAGAAGGCCTTGTTTTGCGAAGCCATCTTCACAGAAGCCATTACAACATTAAAGTGGTTCCAGTTCTGAATTATAATAATTTCCACGAAACCTTCGTTTTAACTTGCGTCCAACTTCTCGTCTCACTTCAAAGATATGATGGAAGGCGTCCAACCGAAACCTCTAGAATGATCTCATATTTTTAGCAACAGGAACCCAGAGCAAAGTGACTCGGCGAAAAAACATCTGAAAATCTTGGCGAACTTGCTCCACAGTTCTGTCGTTTTTCCCGTCGATGATTGGAGCGAAGTTGGGAGAGAACTCTGACGATATTATAAAGAAATTCTTTGCAGTTTCTTCCTAGGCCCACGGGACTGTGAACGAGTTATTAACTCTATCTAAGTTGTGTCGAGCTAGGGTGTAATTCTCGCTCCAGATTCCCTTCAAAATACAGACCCCGGGCTTAGTTTCAGTGCAGCAATTTGCCTGTAGATTGAGTGCGCAGGTCATGGGCTTAACGAGCGAAGTGCTGGGGTGGCAGTGCTAAAGTTCGTGCGAACTGTGGACATGGTTAGCATGAAACTTAGAAATGACGGCTTCTATATCTTGAGCAGCTCACAATTTGTACAAGCTGACGGCTAAAGAAAGTCCGGATACACTGTAGATATCAAGCGGTATATACAAGTCGTCTCAGTGCACCGTAGCACCAGCAGACTTTGTCTTTAGTGATAAATTAAGGGCTGTTAAAATTCTTCATAAACTTTTTTCAACATTTTCGAGAGATATTCTCATTTTTATTACTTCCTTCTACACGCGAACGCCAAATTCTCTCGTAAACGTCAATCGACCACAATGCTTTTCATTAACTGAAATATTTGCCCTTCCATCTTCCGGGGAAGTAATTTTTATCGTGGAATAAAGTCTAATCGTCGTCCGGCACCGGGTTTTTATAACCACGGATGCGCGACAACAATGCCAGTGCCAGGCCGCTTCTTGCCCATTTTTAAACAACTTTCTGAGTCATGTCCAACAGGCGTCGCCACGACTGCGACTGCAAAACCTTATTTATTTTTGGGCACCAGCGAGATTTTTTGGCAACTTATTTTATGCGGAGCAAAAGTTTTCAAGTATTTTCTACGGCGAACAAAGCCTTGTCTTGTCAACTGACAGAATTCGGGTGACATCTGCGCCAAGGATTGAGGACGGTAGGTCATCAGGATTAGCGCCTAAAACTCTCGTGTGTGTCCTGTGTGGCAATAGCAACAATCCAAGGATTGGGCCAATCCCAAACTGCTACTGGTCCTTTAAAGTATCAAAGGAATCATTTAATATTTTTGCGGCATCATCAGACCATTATACGGTCGTATAAAATATTACTATAATTTATAAAATATGCTTCTTTCTCGTATGTACATCTTCTCATCGAGCCGAGAATGAGTTCTACGGACAGTGCTATAATTATCGTACTTCTCGGCGTCAGTCTCCATGTATGAAAGGTGATATTTTAATTAAGACTCGAATTTGTACTATTGTGCAATTTAGTTAGATGGACAGCAAAATGAACTGCAACTGTAAAACGTAATCCATCAATCACCATTTGCATTGAAATTAAAATGTCGTGGCATCGATGTAACTGCAATACAGCAACATATTGGATAGAATTGTGAATATATTCCTGGTTCTACATAATATGTAGAATTATGCAGAGTCAAATTAACATGATATTATGATATGTTTCGTTTGCAAGCCACCTCAGTAAATATAACAAAGATATAATGCATATTTGTAGATACTCTTACATCTAATCATAATTATAAAAATCACTTCTTTCGGAGGAAATTTCGATCTGCTTCCTCATTTGCATTAAGTTCATGTAATTAAAATGAGAAGAAGAGAAGAATTTATTATTTATTAACTCCATGTAATTAAAATGAGAAGAAGAGGAGAAGAATTTATTATTTATCAACATCTTTTGTATTAACCAATTTTCAACTTAAACAACTGGATGTCTGGAAAATTTTCATACATAATTCTAAGCATACCTCAAAAAATATAGAGCTTACTTTGATGAAAGATGAAATAAGAACTCAACCAACTCCAATTATGACTGCACAGCAGTGACTTCTCTTTGTGCCAACGTTTCGCTTATTTGGTTTCCTTTATAATGACGCCGGTGATCATTGGTACATCTGAAACCCAGTAAAAAGTGCTAAATTGTCGCGATAAATCCAAAAATATCGAATCGGTAATTTAAAAGTGATTCAATTCCAATCTCATTAGCATGGCACGCAGAGAACGACTGTGGCTTGCCACAGCAGTTAATGAAGCGCCTGAGCAAACAACTTCTGCTGAAACGTTCCACTTTGATGGCCGTGCAGTGTCACCACGCGGGCTGCGTGAGTGGTCGGCCGCTGATAAATGACCAATGTACACATTCCTGATCCGCTTTGCTATTCAATTAAAATTGGGACGACATGCAGGGATCAGAATGGGATTGGCGCGCGCATATCTACAGACGAGCATCCCTGCTGAAAATTGTTGATGGATTACCATTGCGAAGGGTATTATCGATGGTTGGCCGACTGCGATTCACCAATGATTTTTGAAAGGGTAAATAAAGGGATTGCGATGAAGTGAACTGTGAGCAATTGGATTGGATGCAGGGAGCTGGATTAGGTCTTCCCTCATTGTTTGTGAGGTTTGTGGGGCTCCTGAGCTTGCGAGCTACGAGGTCAAAGCAATTGTTGCGATGATTGTTGGTGTTGGTGCCGGCTTTGATTTGTTGACTTCACTAAATAGCTTATTTCGGCAATTCCACGAACTAAAATGGAATCACGAATCATGAGAATTTATATTCAGTGATGCGATACGAATTTAAAATGGGCCTCGATTATGAAAATACCCCCAGAAAAACCCTTGCCTGAGAGCTATACAGTACTGAAATACTGAATAGATATTTATTTTACTACCAGGTGGGACATGGCAGCCTGGACCTTGGTCGGAGTGCCGTTTGGATTCCTCTTCCCCACGTCGTCTGAGTAATGGCTTGTGTCACGGCACACACTACAGGAACGTCTCATGCTTGACTCAAGCGTCTGAAAAAGTTCCCCCGTTACCATGCACGGGACCAGAGCCTCCACGTGAAGCGCCATGCAAAGTATCATGCCCAAAAGATTGCGTCGTTGGACCCTGGAGTGACTGGACCCCTTGTACAATTTGCGGTAAGCTGCAGTCCCGAAACCGCGCGGTGCTCGAGGCACCCAGCAAGGCAGATAAACCGTGTCCTCGGTTAACCGAAGTGAAGACTTGCGAAGAGGACTGCAGGCCTTCAACCACATCGACAACTACAACTACCAACAAGCCGGTCGTACCTTGGCTTCAGGTGGGGCAGTGGGGTGACTGTATGCCTCTCAAGACTCATCAAGCTGCTAAAAGCCCAACAGAAAAGCCCAAAGTCCTCGAGTTCATCAACCTTGCAGATTTTGATGATGAGGATGACGGTGGAGAGCGAAGCGGGGATGGATCACTGGAGACCTCAGCCGGAAACTTAGGTGAAATAAAAACAAAAACTCACCTTTTTACTACGGGGAAAACTAACTTTCAGTCTCAAGCGAATACAAACTTGGTACATGCATTGGATGTTCCATCCGAGTATCAAAAGAATTCGAGTTTGCAGGAGCTGTCGGATATTTTATTGGACTCTTCTCAAGATTTGGCAGCCGGCAAAGTGGGATTTCAGAAGCGAAATCTAACTTGCCATACCGAAGGTGGCAAGGCCATCTCGTTAAGGTAAGGCTGATTTCTTGACTGATTTATTAGTTACTTTAAGAAGTAATTAAATTAACTGCATATAAGGTCTGAAAAGCCTATCTGAAATCTTGGTGTGCAGCATGGTGGTTGAACAGGAGTTTTAGTGGTTATGTATCCAATTTCGTATCTGTCTCGTGTAGCTCGAACTGCAAGCGCCTATTTCAATGATCAATTAGAGAAACAAATGCGATCGTTATGCAACGAATATCCTTCGAAAAATTGTGCACAAATTTTCCATTAAATATTGATAAATAAAATACTAATAAAAAATTGATTTTGTTTATCACGCTCCATACGATGTGTCAGCACTAGCAAATATCAAAATTTGAATTAATGAACTTTTTAAATCTATTTTCCAGTATTTGTCGAAAAAAATGAGAACGTTCAATAAATTAATTTTTCATATTTCTACGGAATCGAATGTTCAATAATTCTTATGGAAATTTGTTTTTAGATATGAAAGTTTTGTCATATCGGCTGTCAAAGAAATTGAAAAAAATTCGTCTTAAACCAAAAACAAGGAAGCAACGATGCAGACTTTTTAAGCCTATTAAATAGTAAAAAAGAAAATTAAATATTTTAGTCGGCTGTTTGCCGAAAAAAATTTGATTGATTTTAGCTCGTATTTGCAATTCATCGATTCATTGCTGAATTCATTTGCGAATTAATTCACTTTTCCCTATTGGAACATTTGAATCTCTGATATAAATAAATTTAGTGAACGAGCTTCATTGAATTCGCAACAGATATTGGCAAATATTTACCAAACATAGATAAATATTCTAGTCACTCAGGAGTTCTCTTGTAATTTACTTAATAAATATTGTATCGATGCATATTATTGTCATTATTTTGCAATCACGCTCTTACAAAAGTAATTTTCTTTATAAAACTGAATAAATACAGTTGAAACGCAATGTTATATTCCAAAGACTGAAAATTCACTTCATCATATGAACGGTGAGGACATTTAGTTTATCATCTTTAATGAAGATGGCACCATTGGGTCTCTATCTGCCATCTGGTCTCTATTAAAGACGATTGTTTGTGGTCAGTGAACACAACAGTTTTAATAGTAATATTTATGTGTATAAAAGGCTACGTTAAAGAGAAATAATTAAATAAAAATGCTGCGTTTTTTTCGTGTCAGCATGTGCCTGCAAGTGACAGACTCGCTTCTTCCCGCACACACACGTCCGTGTGAGCTGGCGGTAGACTGTCTGGTCACGCAGTGGTCTTCGTGGTCCACGCTCACTCATGGTTGCATCGCACCTAATGGACAAGTTAGTTATTATGATGACAAACTAACGTAATATACCTACGTGCATTGATTTATTTAATGCTGGTTTCATTGAAGACCAGAGAGTATTTCTTATTGACAATCTTCTTATTGTTTTTCTCTATTCGGCGAATTAGGCTCTTGATAGGAAGTGAAAATCCAAATATCAGTAAGGTTTGTTCATATGAAAATACGAATACGGAAAAACAATAAGAAGATTATCAATAAGAAATACTCTCTGGTCTTCAATGAAACCTGCATTAAAGAACAGCTTATGCCAAACTACACAAATGACATACTGTATATATGTAGACATTTGTGATATTGAAAAGGGTCAAACAAGATTTTATGAGTAAGAAATGCTGGGAAGATTCTCTTTATTGTAGTGTTAGTAAGTTAGTTAGTTCAGTTAGTATAAATTGTAGTAGTTACAATTTATTAACACAATAACCGTTCTGTGCGACACATGGCTTTCTAAAGATGTTACATAAATATTTATAAATAATTATAATATACATAAATAAATATAAATAATTATAATATACATAAATATTTATAGATTCGCGCTGCACTGGCACGTCAAACTGTGTATACGTAAGTGTGATCGAAAGCAAAACTTTTTCTCTTCCGATGCATCAGATTTTATAATTTACGAATCCCGGGATATTCTTAAGCTGAAGTCGTGTCTGAATAACGCTAATGTTCTTATGCGCTTGTACTTGGAAATTGGTCTAATCTTTCGCGACCTCAAATTTTGTTGAATTAATTTAATTTGATTTCGGGTTCGGGTTAATTTGTCGTTCATTTGATAATTATCATAGTTTAATGTGATAAATGTCTACTTATAAGTTTAATGTCTCCTCGTGAAAATTAGAGAAAAACAGACATTAAATTGTAAATCAAGGTTCATTGAAATATGTACTGGCTTCAAAATTTATCATGATTTTTTACTAAAATTGAACCAACAGGCTAGTGCGCAGCTAATCTATCCGACCAAGTCAGGATTTGTTTTAACGGTATTATTTCATGCGGTAATTCGCATGAAGGTTATTGATCTCGGTCAAATCCGTGCTCGTATCATAAACAGGCTGCACAAAATAGTCTAAAAGTGATTTTGGCTATAAACATATTAATAAAACAGCGGTTAAAATGAACGGAATTCGGGTGCTAGAAAAATTTTGCTTCAGTAATCAATTGATGTTTTTAAGATCTTCAGGGAGTAAAATTCTGCTGCCTAAAAATAAGATTTTTAGATTCTACGAGATTGTATTTGAAATGTCAGGAAGCGTCCACGGGTTTCTGGTCTGATTCGAAATCACGAGCGGATTTTCAGAGGCCACCCCTCGGCCGACGTTCGGCCTCCCTGACAACCCGCGATGTTTTCTTAGGACGCGCGAGGCTCGGGAGTGAATACGCCCCAGTGAAGCTGTGAAGTCTGCGTGCATAATTCAACAGGGGACGCGTAGCTCTTGTCGCTACATTGCTGCTTGTTGCTGCTGAGGGCAAACGTTCCTTTGATTTAATCTGGGAAGTTGCATTTTTCATGAAACCAACATGCAATGACACTTTTTTGTAAACGTAGATAATTACAACGGCTGCACTCGATTGGCTTCAATATAATTATGAAAGTACAATCTAGAAAATCTCTCGGTTTCATAAAAAAAATAAAGATTTAAACAAAAAATTATAATTCTATGATCTCGCACTAATCTACTAGGGTAAATATCCCAAGAATTACAGTAGATGAAGAACTGGCGGCCTTTAAACGTTGATTGCCAGGAAACCTGCTCTGAATTTCAAGGAGTCTTCATCAAAGATTTGGTCTCTAATTAAGGCTCAAAGTGCTATAATTACCCGAGGTAAGTTGAAGAAATCCTACTCTGCCGCTGCCTGACGTTCACGGGCGGAAATTTTTGATGGGTTGTGCGGTTATCATGGGGTAGATATTCTGAAGTTGTTTCGCTAGCAAACAAAAATGAATATTTCGGCCGTCAAGTTTTATTCGCATTGAGAATAAAGTACAGGAAATGTTTCTTTTTAATTTATTCTCATTTACATTTATGGATGATGTATGGAAAGACGTTATGAAAGTTTGACACATGAAAAGCTTATTTAACTTATTCATTCATGCCAACTGAAAATGAAATTTATAGCGCCAAAATGTAATGATTTTCGCTACACATAAAAAATTGTGAAATTTATCGGTCTTAAATACAAGCCAGATCATCAAAAGGCATTGAGTGTTCGTTTCCGGGGAAAGAAAAAAAGCTGCTTTGTTGTCGGTGCTCTTTGTAGTCGCTCGTCTTCTGCTGAAAGGAGCTCTGAAAAGTATCGCCTGGGGCATGCCAGAGTTTTCTGCGCCAGAACTAAGAAGAATTTCTTGCCATTATGAGGGAAAACGGCTTTGCCGGCAGCCAATGAACTTCGAGGTGCCAGCCAAGATACCGTCGCCGGAAGCTCAACTGGAAAAGCGTCGACGACTTGCAATGTCCAGTCCGGAAATCCAAGAAAAAACGAGAAGTGAAAGAGCTGGAAAGCCCACGCAAGAAATGGCAGCAATCTATACAGGACATATTAGAAAATGCTAACAATTGTAATAAAGGTTTTACGCGCAAATAAACCAAAAAAGTGACGAATGCTTACAGTCTCTTAAGTATTGATTACTATTATTGAAATGATTATTGATTGATGTGAAAAAAACTAGCTCAAACCCAATTGAACAGCTTTCTGCCTTAAAATCTCGTCGATCTTAATTCATAATATTTCGAAGTCGCAAAAACACGCAATAATCTCTTGTTTCCATAATACGAATTAAGTGATCATGTTATTATTAGATGCTCATCCAGTTTATCTCTATACTAATTTAAAAGACAGCTAAATAGAGGTAGAACAACATTACGTATTAAATGGGAAATGTACTTTATTAAAAAGAACTTCTCCCCTCGCCCTTCAGGTGGTGCGCGAGGTACGCGAGCGTCGCCGTGCAGCGCTGGTGCTGCAGCGCGGAGCCGGCCGTCCTTGCCCTCATCTGCTGGAGACTCAGACACTAGCACGACCCCGGCTAGTGCCTTGTGACTCCAAGTGAGTTTTGGGATGCTTGTGGCATGTGAGTCCAAGTGAGTTTTGGGATGCTAATGTCATGTGTAGCTGACTTTTGGGATGCTTGTGCCTTGTGAGTGTAGCTGACTTTTGGGATGCTTGTGCCTTGTGAGTGTAGCTGAGTTTTAGGATGCTTGTGCCTTGTGAGTGTAGCTGAGTTTTAGGATGCTTGTGCCTTGTGAGTGTAGCTGACTTTTGGGATGCTAGTGCCTTGTGAGTGTAGCTGACTTTTGGGATGCTTGTGCCTTGTGAGTGTAGCTGACTTTTGGGATGCTTGTGCCTTGTGAGTGTAGCTGACTTTTGGGATGCTTGTGACATGTGAGTCCTTGTGACAGGTGAGATGCTTATGTCAAGTGACTCCAAATGGTTCGCAAGATGCTTATGTCACGCGATTCTGGAAGAGTCGTGTTTCTATGGCGCACCTGATTTCATTTCATTGATGTGTTTTAGGACGAGAGTTAAGAGGATATTGTAATGCGATATCCTGAAGATAAATCGTCGTGCCATCCTCACGTTTTGCGTTAGTTGATTGCCATGCACGTGCTTTTTAGCGCATTTTCGCATTGATGGAAAAAATACACTATTGTGCTCGCCATGTCCGTCTGTCTGTCTGTTTGTCCGTCTGTCCGTCCGTCTGTCCGTGACCTCAAGTTTTCGTCAACGAGAAAATGCGCTCTCTGTCACCCACTGCAGTGAGTACTGAGTTAAATTTTAAATTTTTTAGCTCTGCTTGGACACTGTGACCCGGATTGAGTCATATGACGTAGAACACATATACAGGAATTTATGTTTTGAAATATTAAATAAAATAATTTCCTGCCCTATATATATGATACCAGCAATGTTTGATTGAACCAAAAAGGATGCCGGGCCATTGTTTGTCCGGTGGTGAGCTTAGAAGCAATGATTCGACAACTGTGAAGTCCGTTCTACTTTTCGCTGTACACTCATAAAAATGAAGGGATCACATTGTCTAAATAATGACAGACTAAAATAATGTAGCACATAAATGTGTATTTTTTGAGTGTATGGTGCCTAATACTTACAAAGACGATCAGAAACTTTATGAATTTTACATATTTTTAATTTTTTGGCCTCATTTTTTCATGTTGGAAATTATTTTCAAACAAAAGGTATTAATAAATCTGAATTAAGATTACAGTTTAGTTTTGTTTCATTTGTATTAAAGTGTCGCGACATCAAAATGCTTATGTTAATATTATGAATTGTAGTACGAAAAGATTTACAAGCAATTGATAGATTCATTGATTAACATTAAATTTAAGTAACTTTCCGAACTGTCTGACCGTTTGAGTGGTAGAATAAGAACGAGGCTCACAGCTATAATCTTTTGGCTTCACTTAAATTTGGAATTTTTTAAGCCATGCAAAATTTTCAACGCACGAGTCTATCGTTCCTGTCAATATTCCGTTTTTCTGAATATTGCTCAGTTGCACTAAAAATAAAAGGCGGGTCCGCCAAATCGGAAGCTTTTTTGCGCTCAATGGAAAGTTTTGCTGTGGAAGCCTCGCTGTTTTTGTTGCTCTCGGACGGAGGTAGCGAAAAATTTATTTTTTTAGTAACAACTGTACAAGTCTTTCCTTCCTCGCCGGGTACCTTGAGTGCGTGACATTTCTAACTAAATACAATATATCTAAAATTTATTTTAGAATTGTTTTTGGTGAAAGTGAAGAAATTTCACTGATGAAAAACTCTTGATAGTTAGGGAAGGATTTTGTTAAGGTTGCCGACCAATAAAAAAATATTGTATTTATCAACTGGTGCCAACTTATTTGCTCAGCAATAAATTAAAAACGCATTCTTGCCAACATAATTTCAAAAAATTCTTCTTCTTCTCTATCCATACAGAACTTCTTCCTCCGATTACGATTACAGTGATGACGAAAAAAGATGATGTCAACCAGAAACTTGAAAAAAATTCCGGTTGAAGTGAAATTATGACTGCGATGAGCTTTTAATTAAGATTTGATTACCAGCTTTGAAGTTCACCGATCAATGGATGTACGTGGCCAGCATCGATATAATATTCAGAAATAAAATTTGATTCGGAGTAGATCATTTTTAAAGTCCGCTTTAATAATATAGTGGATCTACTGAAACATTTTATTTCAGTTCGTATTTTTAATGTTTGTCATTGTGTTTCGGATAAATGCTTTAAAGAAAGAAGTTTTATTAAAAGCTACAAATTTGTATAGGGTTAATACTACCGCTCGCCTAGCGATACTTCATGAATGTAAATTATTTTATCAACAGCTATGATGTTATCAAGACTTGAATAATATTAATATTATAATAGTTAAAACCTCACTTGAATTAATTCGAGATTAAAGTCTCTTATGATAATCACAACTCGAGTACGAAATGTCGAGGATCTTTAGAATTATGTTCGAATGACACATAATAATGTAGGCTCAAACCACAGGTTAACCTTCTTGTATTTCCCAATTTGGTAAAAATTTATTAAGTGCACTCATGAAAAGTGCGAGGTGATGAAAAAATTTCTTATATCAGTGTAAACGCGTAAGAAATTCCTTTTACCTTCAATGTCTTAAACCCAATCAATATCCCTCAAGCGAGAAAAAAGAAAATTCAGACGAAACTGTCGAGTTCCTGTAGAGCTCTCGTCGCTCAGAAGTTCCTCAATTAAATTCGTTAAGTTAATACACTATTAATACTATTTATTCTATGCTATTGAATTTTTTTATATATATGAGACACAATATTCGCCCGTTAGGTACGAGTGGGTGCCGACGTCGTGGGGCCCGTGTGTGTCGACCGTTGGGCCCGACACACACTCACCCGTGGCATGTGGGGGCGGGGTGCAGAAAAGACGGGTGTTCTGCGCACGGGTGCAATACAAAGCACCCGTTGCTGACGCGCTCTGTGCACACGTCCAGCCTCCGCCAATATACCAGAGGTAAAATTAAGAAAATGTGTAGTTAAATAATGTTATTCTATGTCAGTACATTTTAGTAATTTTTATTTCAGAAATGTATTCAAAATTGCAAACAATTATGTATGTAAAATAATTTTTATTAACGATATTAGATTTGAATGCAAGTATTTCATGTTGATTTTTTTAGTTTTATTCAAAATTCAGGCATGAAATAGATTTTAAATTTACATACCTACTCTAAGCCACTTTTTCTTGAAGAAATTCCCAAGTTGTCTTAAGAAACAGCCAAGTTTTTCTCAAATAACTTCTCAATATATCTATGTTTTCTGGTCCCGATAAATAGCAATGCTGTCTCAAGTTCACAGCCTTCACCTGCGTGAAGCAGATTTTTCTGACATTATTTTGTCGGCACCTGGGATTCTAGCTCTCGAAGTTTAGCAAGAGTTCCAGCCTTCACCATGAGTTAAAACTTTATGATACAGAGAAATTCTTGGACTGGCCAATTTTCTGCGAGAAAAGTTCATATATGTCTGGCAAACAATCCACATTGTTCAACTGTATCAGTATGTCAGAATCCAATGAAAATAGATTTGCATGCATTTAGTAAAATTTATGAATGCTTTCACGTTCTGATGTATCGCCGTATCCAGCCCTTCTTTCGCGATTTAATTTATCTATACAATAAAATTTTGCATGGTGAACATTTTGTAGAGGATTTTGCACACAGAAATTCCGTGTTTAGTCTCAAAGAGGGAGCAGCACAACGCCTATGTCATTCTTCTACCAGAGCAAAGTCCCGTTTGACGAACAAGCTTGGCTAAGGGGCATTAGCTTGCTATATTGAAGTGCTTACACAAAGGGGAGTCGGCATTAAAATTGGAGAGAAAATCTCAGTCGAATGGGGTAACCTGACGGTAAGAATAGCGTATCAAACTTCTGAACGTTTTCCGAGTGACATCAATGCTTGAGAAAAGAAGTGGAAGGGCTGGAGAAAGAGACGATGTTCCGACGACGCGACGATGTTTGCTCAAACTCTTAGCTGAAAAAGTTGCGACAGCTACAAAAGCCTTTGCGTGCTTCTTCAGAGTGCTCAAGTCTTAAAAATGTCGCTAAAACATTATAAGCGCCTCGACTTTTTTTTTGACTTTCAGTATTGTTTAAATTATAGAGTCAAGCTCAGCAAGGATTTAAGGAAAATTTTTATCATTGCACTTCATTGAATCTGTTTAAACATATTGCATTTTGGTTACTTCTGTACGAGTTCAATTTAGTATGTTTTTACAAGGTTAGGTAACATGTTATAACGTAAGAAAGACTTAAATGTCGTATAGTGCGCTAAATGAGATGCGTAACTTCAACAGAAATTAAATAATAGAATATTTCTCCTATTATTCTATAACACGCGGGGTAATGGCCAGTCTCTTTCGTAGTTTCCTCTATTCGTTATCTTCAGTGCTATTTGTTAATACCGACCTCATTTATACTACATTGCGAACAAAACAAAATAGTTATTTTTTTATTATCAGCCTAAAAGTCGAGCAAGGTATACAGACAATAGATACAATCAACGACAATCTACACTGAATTAAGCATCACATATTCTCATTCAGATTATATATTTTTACCGCTCGGTATAACGAAGCCTCATTATCTTTATCCAAGTAATCGCGCCATTTTAGTTTCCAGGAATTCGTTTTAGCTCTCGTTTGGAATTCACACAATCAATGTTGATTTCTTACATTATTTATGATTAATCAAACAAAAAATTTCATCGGCAAGCCGAGCTAATTTCTTGAAAATAAATATTCATCAAAGAAAGCGGCTCAGTCCATAAGGTTTTACTAAATAAAAAGAAAATGAGAGACTTGAATTTAAGATCACAAAGTGCGTAAGGGTATTTGACTGAAGGGCAGTTCGCGTGCTAGATCTTCTATCTGAATATTAAGTATTATTCGGATTTGATCCTGATTTTAATAAAGATTTAATCTGAAATTTTGGTCCACTGCCGTGACCACACCAGAGCGGTAATACTGAAGCGGCAGTGGCTTCAAACTTATTAATAACGCTATTTAATCTCTTAGTCAGAAGTAAAACTTTCTACCCGAGGAAGATCTAGAAGCATATAGTTGTTGCAAAATGATAAAAAAATAAAATAACGTGATATTCGCACAAATAAAAAATCGGAAACTAAATTTACAGGTTACTAGTTTGGAAGTACTTATTGATCAGCGAATACGAAACTAGTGAAAAAACAGCTTTGTAGATGGCAAATAATTCAGATTGAATTTTTTCAATTTCTAACAAGACTACAACTTGGAACTATGTTTAGAAGAGCAGAGCTATACACTTATGATGTACGCTTAAATTATCCCTCACATTACATAAGAAAGGCAGGCTGTAATGCACCCTCTCAAAAAAGGATCCCTCTTTATGAGTCTTGAATAATTCAACAAGACAAATTAATTATTATTATCCTCACCCTCGCCACTCAGTCTTGTTCAGTCAACTCCACACTTATACCCTGGGCGTTTTATTCTTCCCCTATAAGAACTCTATCGTGCTAATAATCTCTACCACACATCACTCAATCGTGCTCTCCAAACAATCTCTAACTCTTAGCATTATATCGTGTTATCCAAACAATCTCTAACTCTTAGCATTATATCGTGTCATCCAAACAATCTCTAACTCTTAGCATTATATCGTGTCATCCAAACAATCTCTAACTCTTAGCATTATATGCATTATATCGGGAGATGGAAGACAATTAAATAGTGGAAATCATGTATATAAATCCAGTTCTGTAAATAAGGTTAAAAGTTTATTCATACATCAAGATGGAAGTGTACAAAAAGTTTTGAAATGTTTCTCCACGAACTCTGATTCCGTTTCGAACAAAAGAAATGAACTATTAACTGTGATCGAAAACGAGTGTATAGACATTATTTGTATTACAGAGACACTCCCCAAAAATCACGGGGGGGAAAATTTTACCAGTTGAATTTCAGTTGCCAGGTTTTGATTGCTTTCATAATTTAAACGAAGAGCAGTGTAGTAGAGGGGTAGGTCTGTGGGTTAGAACCTTTTATGGGGCCCAACAAGTCAAGTTATCAGCAGAGCACCAATCAGCTAGAGAATCAGTGTGGTGTGAGCTTTCTTTAAAAAGCAGGGATAGCCTCCTTATAGGTGTCCTGTATAGATCACCCAACAGTTCCTCTGATAACGATCAAGTACTGAACAGTCTTCTACCAAGCATGACTTTCAGCAGGTCGCATACGTTAATCGTTGGTGACTTTAACCCTCCAGAAATAGACTGGGCACATGAATCCTCTCCAAGGGATGAGAATCACCCTTCATCCTTGTTCATGGAGTCTGTGAGAGACTCATTTTTATACCAGCACATCACAAAGCCAACCCATTTTAGAGGTAATCAGACTCCAAATACTCTAGACCTAGTGTTTACTAGTGAATAATCAATGGTAGAAGAGCTTCGCCACGAGGCTCCGTTGGGCAAAAGTCACCACCAGTCATTGTTTTTCAGTATTAAGTGCTATACAGAAAAGACGCCTCGGAAGCGTGAACGTTTCAACTTTGCGAAAGGCGACTATGTTAAACTTCGTGAATCAGTGAGTGCAGCGAACATTTCGGACTGTATCATGAACATGAATGTGGCGGAGTCTTGGTCATTCATCAAGAACACCGGTTATGTCTGCAGTTGATGGGTGTGTACCTAAGATAAAGCTCGGTGGAGTCAGAAAAACACAGTGGATGGACAATACGGTTAAAGCAAAGAAGGAAGCCTACAAGCGTTATTTACGAACTCGTAGCGATGCTGAGTATAACCTGTATGCTAGAGCTCGAAATCAAGCTAAAAAAGCTTGTCGCACCACAGTCAAAAATTTTGAAAAAGACGTTGCCAAAAACTCGAAAAAGAACCCGAAAGTCTTTTTCTTGTATGCTAGTTCGAAGTGTAAGACAAGGGACGGTATTGCTGATTTGAATGTAAATCAACGGAAGATATCTTCTGACGAGGGCAAGGCCAATGTTCTAAATCAGTTCTTTAGCAGCGTCTTCACAGATGAGGACTTGAACAGTATTCCAGCTATTGAGGAGCGACCAGTGGACTCGAAGTTAACTAGTTTCGAGATACATGAAGAGGAGGTTCTCAAGCGCTAGGTCTCCCTGAATCCCAACAAGTCATCTGGATCAGACGGTTTCCACCCTAGATTGCTCAACGAATTAGCAACCGTCCTGAAGACTAGACAAGGCCATGCATGAGCATATGTTTAGTCTTAAAATGCTTCGTACCCTACGGAACAACTGATATCTAGAAGCGATTTTAAATCTACCGTCCGTAAGGCCAGTCTAGTCAAGAAAAGTACAAGAATCGGTGACAGGCCTATCCAGGCCTATTCTTTAATGCCGAAGATACTATACTATATCGTGTTATCCAAACAATCTCTAAATCCTAGCACTCTATCGTCCTCTCCAAACAATCCCTAACTCTTAGTACTCTATCGTGCTCTCCAAACAATCCCTAACTCTTAGCACTCTATCGTGCTCTCCAAACAATCCCTAACTCTTAGCACTCTATCGTGCTCTCCAAACAATCTCTAACTCTTAGCACTCTATCGTGCTCTCCAAATAATCTCTAACTCTTAGCACTCAATCGTGCTCTCCAAACAATCCTTAACTCTTAGCACTCTATCGTGCTCTCCAAACAATCTCTAAATCTTAGCACTCAATCGTGCTCTCCAAGCAATCCCTAACTATTAGCACTCTATCGTGCTCCCCAAACAAGCCCTAACTCTTAGCACTCAATCGTGTTATCCGAACAATCTCTAACTCTTAGTACTCTATCGTGCTCTCAAAACAATCCCTAACTCTTAGCACTCTATCGTGCTCTCCAAACAATCCCTAACTCTTAGCACTCAATCGCGCTCTTCAAACAATCCCTAACTCTTAGCACTCTATCGTGCTCTCCAAACAATCTCTAACTCTTAGCACTCTATAGTGCTCTCCAAACAATCTCTAACTCTTAGCACTCAATCGTGCTCTCCAAACAATCCCTAACTCTTAGCACTCTATCGTGCTCTCCAAACAATCTTTATACCTCAGCACTCTATCATGCTTTCCAAACAATCTTCACCTTTTTATCTTAGCACCCTCAAAAGACTCCATTGTGCCGCCTGATAATTGCCGTCTCTTTGAGAAGGCCATCGTGCACTTCAAGCCATCTCCATTTCGCTTAGCACTCCACTGTTCTCTCCGGGAAATCTCCACATCACAAAGGACCTCACCATGCTCTCCAGGCAATCTCTACCACAAAAAAAAGTCCATAGCGCTCTCCAGGCAATCTCCAGAACAAAAAGGAGTCCATAGCGCTCTTCAGGCAATCTCCACAACAAAAAGGAGTTCATAGCGCTCTCCAGGCAATCTCCACCTCACAAAAGACCTCACCATGCTCTCCAGGCAATCTCCACCGCAAAAAGGAGTCCATAGCGCTCTCCAAGCAATCTCCACCTCACAGAGATGGGCTCAGATCACGAATGCATAGCAGGATGGCGCCCGTCGGCCCTCCGTGACTGGGATGAGGATAGAAGCAGCCTGGGTTGGCACTGAGCTCCAGAATACTAGCTAATTTCACTGGAAATTCCCTCGGGATCTCATTTCCTCCGATATTCTACCTGCGGACTCAACGCAATATTCAAAGGCAATGTTCAGCAGTAAAAATCTGCTGATAAGCTGGGGCGTTGTGCCATCAATGCTAACTTCATGATCAAGACGTGAGGTGTTCGCAGCCAGTGTGTGTTGCGCGTTTTATGAGAAATTAGAGACTGGAAATGAGTTTCCTTTGTGGAAATATTAGATTGCAATTCAAAAAGAACGTAGTTTTATCTCCCCTTTAACGTCAACAATGTTAACAATCAGAATATAAATATCAACATTTCGATAATATTCATATAATTATAAAAAACTTTTTAACCATTTAGTGACCCTTCCAGTTCGGCCATTTAGATTGCGAGGCCATTTTTTAAGCACAAATGTAACTTTAATTTTCACAAGTTAGCCAATGCATCTATAATTCATCCCAGAGTGCACCTCTGCTGCTCATCCTTATCTCTGTTCCCTTAAGACCTTAAATTATCTTAAATGATTCAGCAGTCGTGGCATGATGCTGACATTAAGGCACTCTTGGCCCGGCAGGACATAAAGTTTGGCTTCTGCTCTAAAACGTCGAGCTTAACGGGGCGCGAAGCAGCGGTAAGCCAGTGCAGTATTTATCGGCAAAGCTGTAATGCGGCAGACGCTGTGGGGACGCGACGTGTGGCCTGGTGGGCTTAATTACGGCCTGGGAGAGAATGGCTTGAGAGAATTATTTTTGCTTATTTTTTCAAGAAAAATTTCGCTGGTGTCGAACATAAATTTATTAACCTAAGAGATACGATGGAGAATAAGTATATAATAATAACACGAGGTGAGATTCGATGATATGTTACATCACAGAAAATTCGCTCAATCAAAAATGGTTGCCAAGTAATTAGGGACCATAATGAGTGCAGAAGGAGAAAGCAATGGTGAATCTTTAAGAAATGAATTTGAAACTATTTGCTTCGTCGGAAAAAGCAGTTTTCATAAATCAAAAAACGAAATCATTGATGACATCTTCGAAATGATATGTTCGGGAAGTAACTTCTTTATTGCCGACAACAACGCTAGTACCAAACAAATCGTAACAAAAATTATATTGAATTAATTTGATTGAAAATATTGTCGTTAAAATGAATAAAATACACGAAAATTTTTTAATTTAATCTATGGAAGATGGAGGATTTATTCGCATCGGATTTTAAAAAATTCAATATTGATGGAAGCGGCCGATTCTCTCCTGAAGAATGAATTTTTCAAGCCCGCCCTATAATTTTTTAGCGATTAAGCAAATTTATTCATATTATGGAAGAATCGCTCTAATGCAGCGTTTGAACCCCTCTTAAAGTTCTTGATTGACCCTCTTATCAAGCTGGTGCAGTCGCCGACTTACTGTTTTTTAACCCTCCAATTTTTCGCCATTCCCCTCTAACGCCCTCGTATGCGCACCCAATCTCCGGTCGGCTACATGAATTCGACCGTGAAGAAGCGTGCAAATATTTTGCTAAATGGAAGAAAATTTAAAATTTTCAAACTAGATTCACAAAACTGCAAAAATTATAGAAGGATTTCTTATTTTGCTGCATGATGTTTCGCAATCCAGGTACCATATTCTGAAAGCACTGGACATCGAAATTTTCGTCAACACAGAGAACACATTGGTACACAATTTAGTTTTGTGACTTGTGGACAATTTGAAGAAATTCGGTTAGTGTGCAATCAAAGTGCAATTTCAATTTGTAGATTTATTAATTTATTCTGACAAACACAATCAGCCATATCGGTAGCTGTTAAATACATTCATGAGTGTCAGTATAAACATTCAGCATCCCACAAATTGGTCAAATTGCCAATTCACAACATGAAGAAATTTGCAACTCATCTCACTAAAACGAAGAAAAGTGCAAATTAAATCTGCATGTTTCTAAACAAATTTGTGTGACTCTAATTTCCTGGTCCAGATCGCGCTCGTTAAGAACTTTGCCGATTCTTCCGAGTAAAACTTGCGCTGCTGGAAACATTAAGGATCTTCTAATTAATGAAGCAAACTTCTCCGACGAGTACGACAAATCTTGCCAGGCGATGCGGAACTTCATGGGGTTAAATTCATTCTACGATACAGGTTTCGAGTGGAAATCAATTATACGAGAGAAAATAGTTCAATTGAGGAATAAATTTTGTCAAGCTTTTACCTATCAGTCCTTATAAAACGAAATTAAAGTGCGATGGACATTTAAATGCATGGCTCAGTAGTCTAAACTGCGCGCCGGAGCCTTTTCTAATTAGCAAAAAGTTGAACAATTTCGAAAGCCAAAGCAATTACTCGCAGAGATTTCACGGACTTAATCGCGACAGTCACGATCCGCGGAGCGAAGAGTGCAGATCCGCGGTATTAGAAGCTCGGACTATTGAGCAAAAATTACCATCGTCTCTACTCCCAGGTCTGGATCCCTAAAATAATTGCAACGGCTCGAGCTGTTCATCCATTTAAGAACTTTGATTTCGGCCAATCAAAGAAATGGGAAATAAATTACGATCACCATAGAATTGAAGATCACGAGTAGCATATTTTTGAATCGCAAAATTTACCAAGGAGCCACTTACGACATTTCAGAGAATCAGGCCTTTGTTGAAATGTTGCGTAAGAATTTCTTCTCGGCAAATTTCTTTACAGAATAAGCCTCTAAATTATTGAGCTGAAAGAAGTAGGTAATCGCTACTATCATTTTATTTTATGTACAAACGTTCAGAAAAAGTTCCGGTTGTTCTTAGCCTTAATAACTATTTCCACTTCATCATCGTAGGTCACGATTTTTATTGAAATAACTACATTTTTACTTTACTTCACATTTTGCATAAACAAGGATTCTTCCAAAATCAACCATTTTGTGATCCTTTTTGATCCTTTTGAAATTTTGTGATCCTTTGTGATCCTTTTTGAAATTTTGAATAAATCAATTTTTTGAAAACTGGAGTCGTCATGGAACATTGATTGATTTTTCATTTAAGGAGAGAAGTTATTGGTGGAATCAAACAATGTTGACTACAAGAAATCGAACTTTTGTACGAAAAAGAGTGTCAGACAAAACTGAAGGTCTAAGGAAGTGCGGGAGTGCTGGCAGTTTCCGGGTCAAGTTGGTCGGGAAACGAAGTGCGATGCGAGGCGGCAAGTCTCGCGCGGCGCGTGACGCGTCTCTGGGGCGGTAAGTTGGGCGCCTGATCGCCCAAGTTAGGGCGCCGCCGCCCGAGAACTGCGGTGTGTTAAACAACGCGCATCGTCGGCTTCTTGCTCTAATTCTACCTTTTTTACGAACAGAGATTTCGGATGATTTTTATATGTATGAATTGGGTTAAATTTTGTAACTTTAGTGTTACGTATATTCGTTTTGCGAAGGATTTGAATACATAATTTTCGTTCCGTTTCCTTTATAAAATCAGTTTCTGCCAGAAAAAACATTATATAAAGGCAAAATTAGATAGCATAAAGTTTGCATTGCACATAAGGTATGACCGAGAAGTAAAATAATTTATTTCGAACATAGAACATGATAAAAATAAAGTATACATGGCCATACGGTTATTCAGAACTAAAGTACACGTAGCAAACGTTTCCTTCTATTCACTCCAGAGCCAGCACTGAAACTGAAACTCTAGATGCTTATTAAAGTGAACACAAGTAAAGTGTCGATGACACGCATGCTTCAGACGAACGAAATATACAAGAAAAGTGGAACCATGAATTTTCCACTTTTTATATCTCTCTTAGTTGTTTATTCATCTTATTTTGTCCGTTTCAATATCATATCAGCAATGGCTTTCACATTATTTAGTAAATTAGACAGGCTATGAATAAAACTGTGTTGATCATTGAACTGACTTCACAGGTGCGAGATCGGGTGTGAAAGAGACTGCCAGCTCGGCCCCTGGTCCGCGTGGGGGATCTGCACCCCCGCCGACTGCTCCCTCATGCCTCCCCCAGCATCCCCCGGTCAGTTAAAGTAAAGTTTATTATTATTATCAACTTAATGATTTTAAGGAATGAGTTCAAAGCAACTAAATTAGAGTTATAAATAATATGATTGTGGAGTTTCCCTTGATTCAGTGCTACCAAACTGTTGACTATATCACCCTTCACAGGGCTTGTTGTTAATTACGATATCTTTTGGCTCTCCTCTCTTTATTAACATACTTCCTTTGTTTATTGATGTACATTGTCCCATTGTCATAATTTCGTTTATTATTTCTTACAATTGGCTTGCTTTCTCGAGCACGCCATCCATTCTTCTGATCAATAAACTATCAATATAGTCATTGTTCCACCAACCGTAATTATATAAACTGAGATAATCACATTTTAAATCCCTCCAGCTTGTGAAGCAACAATAATAACGCTGACTTGAATGATAATAAATCATGACTCAAGGATAGCTTCTTATTCGGTCATAATTCCATCATCACGTTTATTTTACCATTGCGGCTTGCATAGTACAAATGGTTGTCTCACATCGCTGGCTAGAGCGCAACGTTCAATTACTAAGTAGTTATCAGGATGGAAACATGACTTTAACGTAAATGGAAATGCATGTAAATGAAATGTAACGCCTCATGAAAACTGTTATTATTCATCCAAATACTTTTCTATTTGATTCGGATCAGTTAATAATTTTTTCCTGATCGTATTTGATAAAATGAAGTTTAAATATGTACCTCAAATTATATTGCGTAAAATAGGACGTTATTACCTGAAATAAACGACGAAAGGTTCATGTAGTTAAAATTGTCAAATTTTTCTGTCATGACGAATGGCTGCCGTGTTTGAGTTAAGCTTAGGGAAGAAATTTGTTTAAGTTTTATAGTAAAATTAAAGCGGTAATTCCTTGGTTTTTGAAAAGTAATAGACTGATGTTTGATGCTCTAATTGATGCATTGTTGAGTAATTTTCCAATGAGCCATTAATGTTATTTGAAGTTGATTGATGATGAACGCAATGGAAGTCATTTTGTTCTCTCTAATTAAAGTTATTATTATATGAAACCGAACTGAGAGTGGGAGATGTTCTAGTTTGCAATCTCTTATAACGATGTTATTGGATAGCCAGCTAAACTTCTTTCAAAATCTGCCATAGTTTTTCAAAAAACAAACAGGTTTAACGCTTAAATGATCCAATGCGCCACAATATAGTGACTTTTTTCATTTTAATATAATCTATTCTGTTTTATTATTGATGCTTTTTATGAGTACATTTCAAAATACAGGGTAATTCTTGGAAACTTCCTGATTTGAAAGCTCAATAAAAAAATAATTGGTATAGATATCAGTACAGTATGATATTATTGAGAAGATATTACCTGAATTCTTGAAATATTTACTTTTAAAAATTACATCGGACAAATGCAGGCCTCTTTTGTCAATGCTTTCAGTTAGTCGCTTTTTTGAAGTTCCGAGCAACTCGCTAAAGCATATTGACAGGTATGTGGGTGATGACTTGGCGTACGTTGTTCTTCAAATGAGGCAGGGTCTTTGGACAGGCATTGTAAAAAATTGATTTAAAGTAACCCTAGTAAAAAATCACCCGGAGCCAAATCAGGAGATCTGGTCGGCCATAGAAGGAGATGAGGCGATAATGGAACGGACATTAGAAAAGTACGCCTCGACAGCAAACGCACGCTGCTCATAGGTCCAATTTCAATAAAATCTGAAAACTGACTAGGCGGGACACGCAACTTCATGACCTTGCTTTTTATATGAAATACTCTCCGCTATTTTCCTACAACATCTGGCTGCTTGGCGCGAAATACAAAACAGGATGTTTCCGTGAATCACCCAGTATATGATGATAAATTGACTCAGGAAATCATTCGGTCCCACAAAAAACATCATTTAACGCACGTGTTAATAATTAACTTGAAGACCACACCAGTCCATATTCGCAACATTGTTTTCGAAATACAGTTGTCAACAAATTAGCCCCTTGCATATAACATCGATTTCAGGCATCTTGGATATAAACTTTGATTGAATCTTCACCCAAACAGTACCTTAATATTCATAAGTTATTATTAAAAATTTGAATAAACAAAGGTGTATTTCTCTTCCAATATTAATGATTTTAATGTTATAGTTGCATGGAATTTGTGTTGCGACTGACACCAAGCATCGGTGATCCAGGTGTCCGGCGTCGACGTCGCGAGGTGTTAGTGAGCGCCAGCGCTGGAGGCCGTGAGTGCCAAGCTCTGGAGGAACAGAGCGAGTGCCATGGTGCTCAGTGCCATCAGTGGGTGCTGGCACCGTGGCAGGAGTGCCTCGTCAATGATCCCGCACTCAAATGTGGGCCTGGACATATGACTCGCAATGTCAGCTGCCTGGATGCATATGGGGTGAGTGTGGTGACAATTAAATATAGGCCTACACGGGGCGGTACTATCAAATATATAACGAGTTCGTTACTCTGTCAGTCAATTACTGGCGTCTTTTAAAGCTAAACCCTTCAACCAAAGACGAGAAATCAGTCGCTATGTGTATTTAGACATGTTTTGTGTACATGTCTAAAAGCGAGCTTTGATAATACTGCCCCTGAACACATGAGATGTAATGTCACCTGTTTGGATGCATACGGAGTGAGTGAATGACATGACAGTTTAATATTACATAAACACGTAAATTTAATGTCACTTGCAAATAATTTTTGATGAGTGCACGATGTGGTATTTTAATGTGGCATAGAAATCTGGCTGTGCGTCTTATTAGAGTTTAGTCTTGGACCTTGTAACACAAAATATTGGCCCAGACACATGGCCGGCAATGTAGCATTTAGAGCCTGATTTGTTTATTTTGTTTTTACTTTTAATGGACCCAAATTATACTTACTTTTATAAAAACTGTAGTAACCAAATCTATACAAGCTGGAGTCTCGTATACATATTCAAAAAACAGTCATGTCTCCAATTAAATATCAAGATTGCTGCAAAATTTTAATTACGCAAGGAAGATCCTGTCGCAACAGTAAAGGCTTCGTTAGCGCAGCAGTATCATGAAGCAGTTCTAACAAGCGTAGGGCTTCTCAATGGTAAGCAAATCTGCCGCAAGTTTGTTGCTCAACATCAGGCGTGTGTCTGCTCTCAACTTCTGTCTCATTCAGACACAAGCCCCAGAACTGCTCGTATTGCTTACTGCTCTGCACGCAGTTTGTCGGAGCTTTCACACGGTCCATAAAGTAAACTCATTAGTTTAGATATTAGTTTAATAATAAAATTAGTAGTTCGCGCAAATGGATTGAATGTGTATTACTCTGATTTAAAGGAATACTTATTTTAGAGTTTGTAACTTAAGTCATATAATCGATCATCAGAATGCATTTTTCTACGTTTCGTTTCTTCATCGCTGATGCCAGTCAACGAGCTCCATGAGCTTTAAGCTTTACAAATTGAATTATTTTGAGGGTAGAAATTCGATACCGAGCAGATTTAGTACAAAATTTTAACAACATTCTTAGACTCGTGGTATGCAGACTAAAATATTTCTATGCTTCCTCTTCCGAAGTAAATTTATTTCGAAGCTAAAATACCAGTTAATTATCAGAAGTTTCCGCCTTAATATATTTTCGTGAACAAGATGAAAGTATACGCACGGTGATGGCGAACTGTTACAATTCTATGTATTAACCGTCTATTTATTTCTAGAGGAATTTAGTAGGAACATGGATCTTTATTTCTATGGAACGACTCAAATTTATTTTAATTTTCGTTCAATACCTACAAAGAGTCACAATAAATATAGTGCTTTATATACATTCTCGGAAATTCCCCAGCACATATCGATTTCCACAAATAGTATTGGTACAACACTTGGTTCAGTAGAAATAAGTTCCATTGAACACTTGTAACTTATTTCCCCACAGATCCCAAGTCCACGAGAGGAGTGCGAGGGCGAGCTGGGCCACGTGTCCACACGGAAACCTTGCCACGTACCCTGCCCGTACGACTGCGTGTTGGCGCCGTGGTCTGAGTGGTCTGCGTGCTCCAGGTCCTGCTCCAGTGAGCACCAAGTGGGCTACACCCGCCGCAACACCACCATACTCGCACCTCCAGGCCCGGGTAGGTAGTTTAAATCTATTTTTGAGAATTCTCACAGTCCAAAGTCCTCAGGCTTTGGTAGGAAATCGAATTTAAATTTAATAAAAAAAATACTCACATACCGAAGTATTGAGAACTCGCTTCAATTTAATTGAAACCTGTAAACATTGTAAAAACATATATTTAATGCCATACTTACGATATGGTAATGTATGGGAATTTATTAAAAATCACCCGAATATGAATGTTTCATCTCTTTTTCGTCTTTTTTTTGCCCTGTTCTGATGACGAAGAGATGAAGGAAATGATGAGATGATGCAAATAATGATATTATGGGGGTGGTGAGATGATGGAGGTGATGTGAAGATAAAAGGGACACGATAACGGAAGTGATGAGATGATGGATGGATGAGATAATGGTGATGATGAGATGATGAAGGTGATGAGATGGAGGAAATATTCCTCCATCTCATCACCTACATTTTTTTCATCGTCTCATCAAGGTACGATGAGACAATGAAGGTGATATGAGTGCGATAAACTCCTGATGAATGCCTAGGAGGACACCCGTGCCCCGACCCCGACGAGCTGACGGAGGTGAGCACCTGCAGGCTGGAGCCGTGTGGAGGCGCTGCCTGGAGCCCCGGCCAGTGGAGCGTCTGTGCTCCAGAAGGAGGGGCGCTGTGTGGATCAGGAACCCAGACGCGCTCTCTCAAGTGCGTGGGCCCTGACGGCAAGAGTCTGTCTCTTGAGAGGTGAGACGTCTTATGTGTCTTGTCTGGCCGTTCATAATCGAAATTTCTTATAATTTTTAACAGGAAACATTTTCCACTTTATAAAAACCAATATTGTAATGAGTGATACGCAAAAAGTATTCGATTTTCGTCATTAAATGTAAGGAGTAGGTAAAATGTTTCGGGGGTGAAATACTGTTTCAAGTTTTGAGTTTCCATTCAAATATATTGTTTTCGTATTCTGAAACTAAAATTAATACAAAAATTTGGAACTAAAACTAATACTACATTTTTCCTTGGAGGTGTCGTGGGTTGCAGCAACCTACGCAAGAGCGTTCGTGTGAAGTGGAGTGCGGTACGCCGTGCTCCGTATCTCCATGGAGTGACTGGAGTGATTGTGGTGCAACACAAGGCTGTTCCAAAGGTTTGGGAATGCACTGAATACCTTTTTTTATTAAAGACTTGGATTGTCGTTGAGAATTTTGTTATCTAGCTAAAATAATAGAGTCCAATGTTATTCCTTAATCTTGTCATCCCATTCTACATATCCGTAGCTGACTCGCTCATTTAACGGAAGCATTTATTTATTATAGTATCAATGTTCGCGACTAATACGCTCATTATTATCGTAATGCCTATGCGATCGTAGCCGACACGCTTATTATTATTGCCATGCCTACGCATTCGTAGCCGATGCGCTACGAATATTATTATTATTGTTATATCTATGTATTCTATGTATATATACATATACATAGTACATAGTATACATATACATAGTACATATATATACATGTATTCGTGTTATATCTATGAGAACACCCATACATGATTTAATTTTTCCGTTTGAACTTATTTCATCGGAAAGTATGTATTGCAATAAAAAAATTAACGTCGCCGCAGGTGCGGTGTCGTCGGTCCAGAAGCGCTACCGTGAAGTGCTAGTCGAGCCCCAGGGGGTCGGTGAGCCCTGCCCCCCGCTGTCCCAGGACCGGGCCTGCGCTGTGGCCCCACAGTCGTGTCCCAAACCCCAGTGGCGACCCGGGCCCTGGAGTGCTTGTCAACTCAACCATGGGGACACATGTGGGCCCGGTATTAGGGTCAGAGGTGAAGTTCTTCTTTAGATTCTTACTGCGAGTGACTATTTTCGCTATATAAGCAGAGATCTGTCTAATAATTTGGATTAAAGAACATCAACGCATGTATTGACTGTTTACGCTGTTTCGTAATTTAATTTAAAAAAATTGCTTCAGGAAAAAATTAAATGATGTATAAAGTAATAAATATCTTCTGTTATTGCATTTTAATAAAAATTCGTTTGGAAAGATCTAATGATGTCAAGGTTGCGGAAAAAGTGTTGCATTAATCCATTGAACTTTAAAAAGAAAGCCTTCTTACATTTTAAATGTTACTTAAACTTTACTCCAAATGCGGTTCTTGATTTGAACCTCTTATATTTGTATATTTTCCGCCCATTATCTCCTAAAAAACTATATCCAATAAATTTTTGAAACATTTCACGCCGTGAAATAGATTAAAATGACGGAGACAGGACTGTAAATCCTTGTGCCTGTAACACACATCTTCTCCAGACGTGTCGTGTTCGGACGAGTCCGGCAGTGTTCTGGAGCCGACGTCGTGCCTGTTACTGAACACGGTGGTGCCCGACACGGCCGCGCCGTGCGCCGTGAACTGCACGACGGGCTGCGCCACGTCCGAGTGGTCCGAGTGGACCGCGTGTCCGCAGGCTGGCAGAGCCTGTGGTGACGTTGTCAGCGAGCGACGCCGTAGCCTCATCGGTGGGTTGCTTCGAACGCGATCGAACAAGTGCTAGAGTCGATGTGGTTACTTTCTATTCTGATGTCGTAATTAATAATTAAATATATCGTGATTAAATAATTAATGATATCATAATTAAATAATTTATGATGTCGTAATTAAATAAATAATGATATCGATATTTATTAATTAAAGATATCGTTATTAATTTTAATTCAGTAACTTTATTTTATTCAGTATTTTAATTCAGTATACTTTATAATACTGAATACTATAATATACTAATAAATACTATGAATACTAATACTGAACATTAGTACTATACTGTATAAAGTATAATACTAATACTCAGTAAGTATAAAGCAGTATTAAGTATTATAAAGCATATACAGTGTATATCATATAGAATGTTGCCTGAGATCGCAGGCAGGTAACCATTTGAAGAAGAATTTCTCTTTTTCTTCCTCATCATGTCCGCCGCTAAAATTAAACATGTGCTTTATCAATAATTTTTTCGTAGAGCTAATATGTTCAAATCGTTTTGCCGACAATGACCATTGTTCAAAAATGTTCCTATACATATTTTGCATACAAATGAAATTATTCGAGTATATTTTTCACAGGTACGAAATAATTATTATTTTCCAGACGGCAGTCAACTCGACCCAGCTTGCACCAACACAAGTCTTGTAGAGAAGAAGTCGTGCCCATGCCATTCGTTCTATTCATCGCCCGCCTCTGAATGGTCTGAGTGTCTAGTCGGAGAAGGGGATCTGCAAACGGAACCTCAAAAAAGCCGCCGACCTAAACAATCAGGAATAACAGTAATGAAGTTAATTAAAGGAAACAAATTTAAGGGCGCTAAAAACGGGTTGAAATTAAGAGGCAAAAATAGTAATTTGAATGGTATTGTGACAGAGCGAGACGAGTACGGTTATGAAGACGAACTTGCCACTAGAAATGAAGGCAAGGAATCCATACCCCTTTCCTTTGGCGAGAGCATTAGTTTTCTGGGTGACCTGGATGAGTTTAAAAACTACGTTTATTTATCAAGTCAAAAATCGGCTGACTTGTCTTCGGAACAAGAATTGCCATCCGGAAAAGAATTAGAGTGGGAGATGCAAGAAGAGACCAACAATGAGATAACGTTCAAAGAAATCGATGCTTATGATTATGGTGAAGATCTTGAAGAATATAGTGAAGAGATTCACCTCGAGACGCTCCAGGGGCGGGACCAGCTCTGTGGAGTAGGTGCACGGTACAGGGCGCTGAAATGCTTCAGGAGCGATCACGTCATTGTTCATCCCAGGTATTGCTAGGTCTTTGCTCATGCTTTTTGCCTAGTGAAAGACGTACCGATGACTGTAGGTAAAAATTTCAAGCTACAAAAATATTTGTGTTCGATAATAGCTTTATAATAAACCCAGCTGGAGTGAGGATTTTATTGCTCAGCTCAGTATTTGTTCGAATGCTTCTTGTTATGTAATAAATAATCAACGTTTTCAGGTCAAAAAATAGCTAAGAATATTTACATTTAGTTATTATTCTTTACAAATAGTTTGAAAAACTTGTGTTCAGGTGGTGTGAACACGAGGGTTAGGAATATTTACATTTACTTATAATTTTTTGTAAGTAGTATGAAAAACTTGTGCTCAGGTGGTGTGAACACGAGGGTTGGGAGTGGGAGCCCTGCATGGTGGAGTGTCCGGTTGACTGCCTGGTGGGGGCGTGGAGCGACTGGTCTCCATGTAACGCCTCATGCGGACCCGGCATCCAGACCCGCCAGAGACCCGTCCGTGGAGAAATATTTTTGTGCTCGTTCCGTTTCAGGATGAATAAGATTTTTTGATCATTTTACTTTAGCGGTTGGATACATTTCTCAATGTAAATATCACAAACCCAATTTATATTTACATTTCCTGAAAAAGTTAAATAGCTAGAATATTCCAGTTTTCTACATTCTATGCAGTTTTTATTTGTTATTTTAATTATTATAATTATTTCCTTTAGTTATTTTAGTTTTTATTTTAGTTTAGTTTAGTTATTTATTTTTTATTTTAGTTTAGATTGAACTAAATAACTAAATAAAAACTAAACTAAATAAATAACTAAATAAATAAATATTTACTTATTTATTTAGTTTAAATAAATAAATAAATAAATAACTAAATAAATAACTAAATATTTAACTAAATAACTATATTTAGTTATTTTAGTTTAGTTTTTAGTTTAGTTATTAAGAAGAAAGTTTGCTATTATATTCTAGTTATTTTATTTATTTTGTATAAATTCTTGCCGTCCCTTCCAGATATTGAGTCCCCAGCTGTGGGGAGGCCGTAAATGCCCTGATGCGCAGCAGACGAGGGTGTGTTGGGGGAGCTGCGCGGGGCGATGGTTTGCGCGAGGCTGGGGAGAATGTGAGGGTGAATCTGGGGCCACACTCACCCTCGAGGGGAGAGGGAACCAGACCAGACATGTTGGGTGAGCGTCGACTGAGAAAAGTGATTATTCTTACATTATTTTCATATAAAAATCTTTTTGAATCGTCAGAAGAAATAAGTAAAATGACACATTTTATTTTGATTTTTCGCGGCTAACTCTCCCAGATTTTCCAGATGTCCCTTAATGAACAAAATCGTTGTAAGTGTGTGAGATCTGAAAAATTTCATGCGTGTATAATCGTACATTAAATTTATTATTTATTGAAGAAAGAGTTAACGAAATAGGCGCTATAACTGATAATCCGCTCCCCGCTACAGGTGCTCTAGGGAGACACAGGAAGGGCTGCAGGAGGAGGCCCAGGAGGAGGAGTGCCAGGGCCTCCCCAAGCCTCATAGTGAGCAGCCCTGTCGTGTGGCCTCACCAGGCACCTGCGTCGTGGGCCCGTGGTCCCAATGGTCCCTCTGCAGTCCCGTTAGTAGAAATATTCCTGAATTTTAACAGGCTTTCATCCAAAAACATTGTTTTTTATTATTGGAAAATTATAATTATCAAGTAATTATCATGATTTTTATTTGTATGGAGCCACACCAGTGAATTTTGAATTTGAAACTTGTTTCTATCCCAAAATATTGTCGTAGGACAGCATAATTAAAAAGTAAGTATCATGCGTTTCATATGTGCAGTTCGTTCTGTTAATAGAAAAAAATCTGTTATTTTAAAAATTCTTTTCATTCATTCCAATTCTAGCTTAAATTTTGACTGGGCAGGGCTGCGCCATTCACAGTTCGAGGAACCGCACGCGGGAGATCTTGCGTCACCCAGTGCAGGCATCGGCGGCAGCGGCGACGTCGAGAGCGTCGTGCCCGTCCCTGCTGGAGACCGAGCCTTGCTTGGCGGGTGTCTCCTGCTGGTGGTACACCTGGCAGGTGACTTGAATTAGATTTTTCTACCTTAAATTCGGGTGTAAGTTAAAGAAAAATTGACAAATCGAAAATTAAAGCTCATGCCTCACGATACAGAATATACGTAGTTGCAATAAATGAATCAAACAGAAGATATTTATGCATCATGAAGCCTACGATTATAATTTTGATTATTCATTAGAATTGCACGATAAAAGAACAAGAGGAGAGAACATAAGCTTCCCCATCTATGCTTGAATAGAAGAGATATCCACAGGCTTCTGAAAAAATACTGGCCAATCGGAATGAGAAATGTTTCACTTTTCAATTCATTTGACCAATTTTCTGAACATATCTTGGATACCTACTGAATCAACATTAGTTATTTCTTATTTGATATATAAAAATAATCAATCATCGGAATTTTTTTTATTAGGCTAGAGAACGGAGTCAAGTTCCGGAAATTACCTTATAATAATTGCCGAATTTCATCCCCATTAGGTGGGGAACTGGACGTCGTGTGTGCCGCTGGGGCAGTCGTCGTGTGGGGAGGGCGTAATGAACCGTCCAGTTGCTTGCGTGCGATCAGATGGTGTTAAAGTTCATGACCGGTGAGATGTATATGTATACTAATTAAGTAACACAAAATAATTCCTATTATAGCTCTGTTTTTTATGTTATTGTTAAAAATAGTTGGACCTAATACCTGAGCATTTTTTTAATAACATAGAAGAAAATAATTCCAATTATAACTTTGATGGTTGTTATTTTATTGTTAGAATTAGATGGACCCAATATCCAACAAATAAAAAAATTTACACCGAAACTGTTTATTTTCTAATCACGAACAATGATTTATGATGAATAGAAAAGTCCATAAAATTGGGCGAATATTACGACGATTTACTATCAATATTTAATTAATATATACGTGTAAGATAATCTAAACAACTTTTTAGTTAAGAGTCGTAAATGTATTCTGTTTCTGTAGTTGGTGTGGTGAGGAGAACAAGCCGACGCCTCGCGAGACCTGGTGCTACGTCGACTGCCCCATTGACTGCGAGGTGTCGCACTGGACGGCCTGGGACAGCTCCCAGTGCTCCTGCGGCGACACAAGTTAGAATACCACACAAATTTAAGAAAAATATCGGTGAAATATGTGCTGATAAAGTTGCGTAAATATCAGTGAAATATGCGCAGATAAAGTTGCGTAAATATCAGTGAAATATGCGCTGATAAAGTTGCGTAAATATCAGTGAAATATGCGTTAATAAAGTTGTGAAGGAAACTTCATTTTTTGATGTATCGAATGACCACGAAGGTGTAAAAAGTTCTATTTTATTTATTTCAACTGACTAAAAATGTATTTCACCAAAAGAAATTTCGCTATTTTTAACATAATAAATATACCCCGTATATTGGGTTGTTCTAAGATTATCACCCTCATTTTGCAACAAAATACTGATCATTTTTTATCAGAAATATTTATCACTCATCAACAAGTTTTCCAAACCTTGGCGCTTATTTGAACAGCGGGCAACATGACTCGTGACCGCTACATCGCCGTGAACCCCAGCGAGAGCGGGCGTGCGTGTCCCGTAGAGTTGCAGCAGCGGCGTCCCTGTCCCTACGTGCCGTGCTACACGTGGCAGCGCGGACCCTGGGGAAGATGCACTCTGCAGGTGTGCAGACATGAGTTGCAGCGAGGCTCTGAAATTTAATTTTTCAAAGTATCCTTAAATATTTCAAGTGGTTCTTGCATTACAGAGAGTAGGTATAAGATTGCAATGTATTCAGCGTGTGTACAGGTACAAGTTGTTTCACGGCTCAGGATTTGTATGACATTGTGATATGTATTCAGCAAGTGTGCTTTTATTACATTGAACATCGCCTAGAATAAGCATAAGATGATTGGGATGTGTTCTACTGGTATGCAGCACTATCTTTTACCTGGAACCATCGCAAATAGAAAATATGGATGCTTGTTTTTCTTGTATTATTTAATAACACTTATACCACTGAACGTAAGTCTTAAGTAAGTCTCATCTAATCTAACGCTGAAAAAAAAAACAATCAAATTGTATCATTTTCTAAAAATCTGCTGCGTTTTTGGAAGCACATCACTCATTGCTAAAATCTCCATAGAAAACCGATGTATTTCTTGCAGGGAGGCTCTTGTGGTCACGGCACAGTGTCTCGCTCAGTAGCTTGTGTGGGGCCTGGTGGGGAACAAGTGTCCCCGTCGCTCTGCCTGCAATTCTTCCATGTTGGAGGGCATTCCTGGTCGTACTTATCCCATGCTCTCGACCTCAACACACACGTAAATTGTTTACGTTTATTTTAAAGAATGGTCTGTTTTCTGTTAAACCCTTACTTGCATGATTGTCTTTTGTTCCGTTAAATTAATTAGGAAACAATATTGCGAAGAAATATTCGCTGTAAGCAACAATTTTATGCGGCGTAGCTGTAAAGATAATCAATTTCAAAAATAATTAAAAAGCAATCTCAATCTACAGAGTTGTCTAAATTATGATAGATTATTACGAGTAACTGTTTTCATTGCAAAATAATGTCATGCGAGTGTTAGATCAAAAACATAAGTCCACGCTTATTGCAACCAATATTTAAGTAACTGTTTCAAAACAATTTTGAACACTGAAGACTTTGCAGATTAAATACTTCAGATAATGTTATAGTATGCGCACATTAATATTAAATTTTCCTATGTACGCTATAAAATTTAAAAAAGTCACACTATTTTTCCAAGTTAAGCATTAGACTTTCGCTTGCAATTCACTACAGGATAGTTGCCTGGTGTCGTGCGAGGGCGGCTGCGAGCTCACAGAGTGGTCCGCTTGGTCGCACTGCCACCGAGACTGTTCGAACGGAGCCGCAAGTGAGTACAACTGGTATTTATGTAAAAATAATGTAAAATGTATCGTTTTTTTATTGCGTCTTCCGATTCACGGCAATTTTGGCAAAAAGTTAGTGATTATTTGCAGTAAATTAATTCTTGAAGCGTGGGTTCTGAAAATTAATCCCTGAAATTTATCAATATACAATTTATTATATACAATTATCGCATTTCGGTCAAGAGATGCGAATATTTTCCATTCATCCCAATTTTATTTATTTTCTTTTCACCCCTAACACCAGATTGATCCAATTTGCCTGATTAACGCACCAGGTTAACCTGTAACCTATACCACAAAAACTTTCTAAAAACGGCTTGTAAACCTTCTAGTTTCATTAAAGTGTATTCTAATTTGAAATTACTAATTTTGTTAACTAATTTTCAGGCGGCGTTCAGACCCGGAGCCGCGGTATCTTGTCCCCGGGTCAGCGTGGGTCAGAATGTCCCCATGAGTTGTCCCAGTCTCGGCCGTGCCTCACGGGCCCGTGTCGCACGTACTCGTGGCAGTTCAGGAACGGCGAGGCCATTTGTGTCAGGGACGACGGTGCCACCGTCACGTGTAAGTGATGTTGGCTAAGTATTAAGTAAGTTAGGAATAAGTATAAGTGATGTTATCGTTAACGTTATAAGCGAGACCGAAGTCCACGATACGTTATGATATACAGATACTACTAGCTAGTCAAAATAAATTATATTGGCCCGCTAATACAAACTTTGCTCTCTTTCTGGGGTTTACTGTCATGTAAACACCTTCGCTTTATTCAGTGTTTGTCATTTGATGAATAAACCTTACGAGAATACGTTTAAAACAAACTTTTAATCATTGTTCATTTACAGGGAAGACGTCTATTCGTTCAGGCTCTAAAAATTGCTGAGATTTGTTTCCGATATGAGTAATGATGTACTTATACGATTATAAGTTATTTAAGTTATTACTTTTTTATTTTTGTCCATTACAATTTTGCCTAGAAATTTTGCTACTTTTTGCTCCGAAATAAAATCTGCAAATCTCTACCGAATGAAAAATACGAATCCGTTATCCAAAACGTTATTGCTATGATTACAATAATCTGAACGAACCTACGAAATGGAACTATTCACTTTGAGCCTGAAACTCTAGGGCGGAAAAACGTCACTTTAAAAGTTTAATTATCTCAAAAGCTGTCGTATTAATACTCTGATATTTTTATTATAGCTGGATGCAACGAGACTCAGCGGCCCTGCTATCCAGGGTGCTCTCTTCCCAACTCGCGGTGCTCTGTACTGGGATGGTGCGTGTGCAGAGCTGGGTTCAGGGCCGTGTACTCTGAGGTACACCAGTACACTCTGAGCCGTTGTGTCTCAGACGCAGACATGGACACCAACGGCAGCCTCAGCGCCCTGCCTGTTGCTCAGCGTCTCATGGCTGATGGGAACCTGCCAAGTACGATCACTGCATCCAAAGACATTAAAAACGGGATAATGGTTCCGAATTTAATGGATAAATTATTGTTCGAAGTAACTTGTGAAAATGTGTATAATAAGGTATGTTACAGGGAGTACTTGGACGAGAAAGAGAAAGTGTTTGGTTGAATATAGGGACAATTTAAAAGAAAGGGATCTGATATGTTGTATGTCTATTAATGGATGTCCAAGACGTTTTGAAGTTTGTGTACTGATTTATATTCATTGTGTGGTGATAAACCTCAGAACTGGTTTGAACTATCCACATATGCCGAACTCAATCTTACATAACATCAATGAAACTTCCTGGAACGACTAAAATCAGCATAAAACAAGTTATAAATCTGTTTAGTTTGCAAATTAGTCATAATGACCTGTGACATAATTCATTAGTCATAATGACCTGTGACCTGTGTAGATAATTCATTCGTAAATAATTAATCCGCTTCATATATGCACAAGTTATAAGATCAATATATAATTCTGTGAAGGTACGAGCACATGAAATATTTGCAGCTTGACAAGCGAGATTCGGGCGCTCGAGATGACACTTGCGTGTTCATAATCAATACAAGAGAGGCGGATGAAGCATAGCTAAAAAAAGCAATAAAATACTTGTTGAAAAAACTTTCAGAATTTTCATAAAAGTAGTGAAGATTAATGAGAAAAGACGGGATATGTTTAAATATAAGAGCGTAAGCTAGCCGGTTTGGTCATCACGTGGGTTAATGAAAGAATTACCGCAAAATCAAAGGAAGTTGAGGCCTTAGGGCTTAAGATATAAGAGTGTAGAATGTACTAGTCATTGTAAGAATAAAATAAATAGAAGGTTTATTCACAGATCAACTGAACGTGTGGATGTTTGCGGTGCTGGGCATAGGCAGCGCCTTCGTTAGCTTCGTGGCCGTTTCCCTTTACCTCCTCTGGTGAGAAAATTTCAAAATCGTTCAAAGTTCTGAAATATTTTTAATGAGAATTGGACTGTTGCCTGCTCATTAGCTTCAGCAATAAAAGAAATTGTTGAATTGTATGCATGGGTAGTTGGCATGGTTCTTGTAAAATGACTTTATTGTATTTGGTTCACAGATACCGCTATGTTTTCGTAATAACTAAATAAAAATAACAAATAATTTAGTAGGAATTAAGAAAGCTGCCTTGCTCTATAATTCATTATGATGTATTATTTTTGCTCGGGTTTTGTATTCTAAATTAACTATTTTTCATTTCATAGCCGCCAAAATCCGCGCGAAGAGTTGGCGCTGCCCCTAGTGTCCCCTCACCCAACCGGCGAGAAGCTCCCTGGACCCCAGCCAGAAATACGACCCCGAGCTCGTCTGCAGCAGAATCCACTGTACGAGCTCCAGCCAGACCTGCAAAAGACCGTAAACCTGTCAGAGAATCAGGATTGTGAGCCGGAAACGAACAACGATGGGTCCACCAACAACGTGCAGCCGCAATTGATCGGCAGAAAAGGAAACGACGACGTCGGGTGTCAGAAAAATATTATTGCCAGTCTGGAGACGTAAAAACATCCCGTTGCCGTAACTCTATTCCTAAGAATCTTTATTAACTAATGGCACTGTGAATTCTGGAATAACTTAGCGGAATAACTTAATGGCTTTTCGGCTTTCTCAGAATGTGATTACGCCGTCTTTGTGCCGTGATAATAAATCGCTTCTAAATGGCTTAAGAACCTTTAAATAGCATAGTATTTAACACGACTCCAGTCATTATTGCAATATGTGTCATTAAGAACTTATTCACTCCAGCGTGTCAATGTAAACATAAACATTTACCTTACCGCATTGAACATATATATGCCCGTTTGCTCATTGAATGTAAATCATTTAAATTTAGATGTTAAGATGACATTAGAGTATGAACTAAAATTTCAAATGTATGAGTGTGGAAAACCCGTCGAAAATGAATTCAATGATGTAAATTGGTTAAAAAGATATTAGTTTTCAAGAGAGTTTTCGTCGGTTAATATTTCCTAGAGATTATCCAAATGACTTATTTATTTTTTCATTCTCTTGTATGTTTTATTCTTGATCTTCTGAGAGTGCGGTAATTTCTTAGGTATCAAACTGACAATAAAACTAAACTTGCGATCTTAGAAGTCCACTCAGCACCGCGCTCAAGGCAGTCATCTGCAAACGCAATTAAAAATTGAATTTTCTGTAAATGAATAAAAATATTTCGCTGCTCCAGCAAATTATTATAAACAAATCTATCGATAAAGCATAGGAAGTTATTAGATAAATTGATTAATAATTTCAAAAACTGCTAACATGGAGGACACTAGGCATATTAATTTAATTTTTTCATAATGGGATAAGTGAATTAATATCTTAACATTAGGGTTCATGTATTTTATTTGATGAATTTAGATATATTGTTTTGGAATTAAAATAAATAGCGATTTGGATTGCTTGGAATTAATACTGATATAATGAGTGTTTTCTTTAATATAATGTACATATATCCTGATTTTTCTGTCATATTGTTTACTGAAATGTATGCACATTGATAGTGAATATTTCAGCAGTTGAAGGATGAATAATCACTTATTCTGCTCAGTGTAGAGCTGTTTTTTTACACTGAGCTTAAGTCTAGATGGTAGGCAGGGTTCGCTGTAGATATGATAAAGTAATTTCTCATTAGCTTTGTATTGTCGATTGATAGCTGCTGATTCCTAATTCAAAATCGTGAAATTTAACCACTGGCTTATATATTTAAATAGGTGTCTGGATTACATTAATAATTGAATTAATTCAGCCCTATATAGTTATTACAGAATTCGAGTGATTTCTCAAAATTTTTTACATATAACAACTAATTCAATTTTTCGAAAATCTCGTCTCTGTCAGTATTGAAACTAATTTTTTGTACGCTCGATGTATTTAACACTTTAAATTCACCCCCATAAATATCAATGTTCAGTACTGTGTTCCTAGACCAACATGCTTCTCATGGCTGTTCACAACCTTATTCTGGTTCCCTTGTGAATGTTTAGTTTCGAATGATAATACCACAGGAAACTATTATTTCTGATATTTAATTTTCCTTCAGAATGCAAGGGAAATTTACCGGTGGTATAAAAGACTTCGCTTTAGTAATGACATTCGGGTGCACCTTTGTACTACTTCTTAAAAATATTCTCACTTCTGTTTTTCTGTACATGTTAATCACCTGATTTTCAAAATTATATTTACCTTGAAAATTCGATTTCATGGATGGGTATAGAAGAACAGAAAATTAACGTCAAAAATCACCGGATGAATTTTTTAATATATATGAAATACAGTGGTGGGCACAGTTCCGCTAATCCGCTAACCGTTAATTAGCGAAGCTAACTTTTTCCTTGTCGGATTAGCTGTTCAGCTAACTTTGAAAACCTTTAGCGGACCAATTAGCTTCCGCTAAATTCAGTTCCGCTAACTGGAAGTCCGCTAAAAATGTTTAAAAATCTCTGATTTAATGCTAAGTATCGTAAGCCATGTGCCACGCCCACACCTATACTTCAGTCCTCTGGTGGACGCAATGCTGGCAGGCATCACGAAAAGGTTTGGGCCCCTCCTAGAAGACAAGGAGTGCCAGCTGGCAGTGGCCTTAAACCCTAAGTTTCGCCTGTTCTGGCTGGAAAAGCATAATCACAGCCATATCAGCAGGGTACAGAAGGCCATGGAGACCGCCGTGGAGACAGCCCTATCGAGGGAGACCGTTGAGGAGGGCAGCAGCACCACCAGCAATGACGAGGATGGGGAAGATGACTTCTTCAGCAGCATTACTCAGCCCATGGAGTGCAGGAGGAGCCACTGGTCACTGAAGTCCAAGGCACAGAATTTGGTGAAGACCAGGCTGAAAAGCAGCTCGAAGGAGGAATTGACTGACGTTGCCTTCTTGGGCGAGCAGGTGTTGATGAACCTTTTCGTTGAGTACAACACAGCCATCCCATCCAGTGCTGCAGCTGAGCGCCTGTTTTCCATAGGCATGGACATCTTGAGTGCCAAGAGAGCCACCCTGTCAGATGCCAACTTTGAGAGGCTGATGTTCATGAAGATCAACAATCATCACCTCGAGGAGATGAATGCGAAGAGCAAGCCAGAGTAAAAGGAGTGTGTAACCCTGGTGTAACCTTAATATTTCTTATTCGTTTAATAAACTGTATGTTGAATGTTAACTACTGCCTAATTTCATTTGTTCATTTAATTATTTATGTTACGTACATCTTGATCATCATCTGATCTTAGCATGCTACATCTTTTTGGAAAGCTCCTTTTCAAGGCTGAAAGTTCAGCTCTCTAGGCCTGTTTTTCAGAGTTCCCCCCCAAAAAAAAATTAAGCGAAATCTAAATTTATATATTAAAAGTTAGCGGTTAGCGGCAAATTCCGCTACATTTTTTGATGATTTATCGGTTTATCGTTATCGAAGCTAACTTTTCAGTTAGCGGATTAGCGGTTATCGAAGCTAACTTTTAGGTTAGCTGTGCCCACCACTGATGAAATATTAACACACTAAAGTGAATAAGTTAATTTATTAACACCACACGCGTACATGTGGATTCACTCTTGTGGTGAATGCTTGACAAACACCACGTGGATTCACTCGTGTCAAGCATTCACTTGTTTCATTTGAAATTTGAACGTGATCCATTCCAAATAGAGGCTAAGACAATGATTTGAATTAAAATGGCGCACGAAATGCAACACCTAATCCTGCTCAACGTAGCAAATCGTCTTGTAAACAGAACACAGAAAAAAAAGTAAAATAGGGCAAAGCTCATTTTGATGAGGGCAAGTGATTCATTTCATTATAATTATTTGATAACGGGGTACTCACGTGTTACTACAATATATAAATATTGATTAACGTTGCACTTATAATGCTGTTTGAACAATGTCACACTAGTATATTGTTATGATTTTTATTAACATCACGCGCACAACACTACAATTATTTATTATTTATTAAAGATATTATAAGTAAAATAATCTTTAAATTCAATAATTTGTATATTTAATTAGAAAAATGTAATGAAAATAAAATAAACAAAATTAATATTCTTTATTGATTCTTCATACAATTTTTTCGGCAACAGGCCATGGGCCTATTTTTCCAGCGCCGAGTCTACTATTATATTAACGTCACGCTTACTTCCCTTTAATTTTTTATTAATGTCCATTTCGCTTCACTATAATCTTTTATTATCGTACGTTCACATCACTATTAGCAAATATTGACGTCATTATAATCATTGATTAACATACACGCTGGCATTGCAATAACTTTCTAAATTACGGCACACTAACGTTACAATAGTCATACGAATAATTAGGAACCACTCACATAACAAAAAAAAATTGAAATAACGGCAAACTCTCGTAATAATACCCATCTGAAAAACGATTCGCTGAAATAACAAGAAACATTTAAATAAAGGCTTAAACTCAAAAAAATATTTGGCTGAATCACGGCTTAAACTCTTGAAAATGACTGGCTAAATAGCACCACACTCATAATACAGTAACCAGCAAAATAATGGCACACTCACATCAAACCAAATCCTATTTCGCATTTCCGTTAAATCTAATTATCAGCGCATGACACATTATTATCTATATTATCTAATTATCACTGCAAAGGGCAGTCATAGCAGGACTATAAGGGACTCTATCCTTGCCAAAGACGATTAACATCCAGTCATGAATTTTGTTCAGCGACGTCGCATTTCAGAGCTTGAAGTTGAGGTGTTCGGTGATCTCGCCCACAGCCCGGCAGAGTAGCTCTTCGCTGTAGGGCAGAGCGACGATCTGCACGCTGAGCGGCAAGCCTTCTGCACCAGCGCCGCTCTGCACATCGTATGAATAGTTACATGATCATTGACGTGCATCACAGCTTTCTTCGTGGGAAAAAACTTCTTTATTTGGAATAATGAAGATTAGTATTATGAATGCGCGGAAAAGAGAAAAAATATAAATATTTAAATATGAATTTATTTTCCTGAGCTAACTGGACAATTTGACTGTGATTTTAGTTTAAAAATAAGAGTTATATTCTTCTATAGATAGATTGTTCTCTTTGAGGTTTGATCAACAAGTACCCGGACTGATAGTGTGTAAATTCTGTACACTAAGGTTGATGAGAAAATCAATGCTAGTTTTGAAAATTTTCTTGCTCTGAGGCTCTTGATTGTCTGGGTAAACTATAAATGAAATTTTATTTTTATCCTAAAATTAATTCCACGTCTATCATCATACCTTTGGATAAATCTGGTATGAAAGTTATCGAATGTTTTAATGCTGCGTGAATGTTCAAGGTAAATTCAAATAAACATTTTTAGATTTCGTGTTCGAAAACATCGACCGGCAGTATAATGGACAAATAACTTCAGTATATTTCCTATATTCTATACCGTTAAGCTCTAATCAATTTGGAACGAATTAAGAAAATGTGAAACTAGTGCAGGACGATTTTAACTCTTCGAAAAGGAAAAATTTCGCCTTTTCGAGAATAAAATATTTTACCTTCTTCAGAAAGAAAAATCTCACCTCTCTGTGAAAGAAAGATCTCTCCTCTATGAGAAAAGAAGATCTCACCTTTTTTGAGGAAAGGAAAATCTAACATGTTTGAGGAAGAAAGATTTAACCTCTTTGAGAAAGAACCATCTTACATCTTTGTGAAACAAAGATCTCACCTCTCTGACAAAGAATCGTCTCACCTCTTTGAGAAGTAAAGATCTAACCTCTTAGAGAAAAAAATCTCGCCTCTCTGATAGGTTCGAAGAACTTATCACTTTGGGAAAGTAAGATCTCACATATTTTTAGGAAGGAAGATCTCACATCTATGAGTAAGAGAGATTTTACATTTTTTGAATAAGGAAGATCTCACATCTTTGAGGATTGTTGATCTCACCTATTTGGACCTTATGACGAGACTTTAGGACTTCTTCGTGGTCAAGCTGATGCTCCGCCTTTGTCGTCCTCCGAAGTAAGGAAGATCTTAACTTTTTGAGGAAGATTATCTCACCTCTTTGAGTAGCTCGTGGATGTAATCTGTGGCTTCATACTTGTCGATGTTCGTCTCGTCATCTTGCGTTTGGCGGCAGACTGGCACGGTAGCGACTGGGTAGTCAAGGAGGTTGAACAGAAGCGTTGGTAGACATGCGACTGATCAAGAGACAGTGTAATGACATGTGAACTTTAACATTTTTAAACGATACACACAAATAATTACTGAACCATTTTGACGCTATAATGGTCTACATTTCTTGGACTATAGGACTTGTCAGGAACTTGTATAATGTGTGATTATGAAGTCAAAACATTTATATAATGTTAAATTTTTATGCTACTTGATTGTATAATTGCACATCATGAATAATAAAATAAATTTCAAGTCTCGTACTAAGTATAGTCTAATTTCTGTCACCTTGCGTCCAGTATACGTCTACCTAATTTATTCTATTGTATTGTATGTCGTTTTAATCTATAATTCTAAATTAAAATTGATATAGCTTAGCAATTAAAGTAAACTTAATATCTTTTGCACTGAAATATCACATATAAGAAGGACATGAACTAATATATCATCTCATATACTGGTTAGTTTGCCGCAGTGTTCCTTTAGCGCCGCTGGAGAAGGGAAGACTGGACACACAAGCAAGTCAAGCTCCTCTTTCTTCCAGGCCAGCAAGAAGCGGTTGCAATATTCCTGCCTCTCCGCTAGCTTCTTCCAGAGGTCCGCGATGGAGTACAGCGAGCCTGGGTTGAAGGGATTTTTCATTGATCTATTGCATATGAACGTAGATCTTGAGTTCAAAGCCTGTATTTCATGATTGCGTTCCTCAAAATAACTAAATCCTAAAAAAAGCTTCTTCCAGATTTCCGCGATGGAATACAGTGATCCTGGGTTGAAGGGATTTTTCATTGATCTATTACTGATATAGGTCTTGAGTTCAAAGCCTGTATTTCACTATTGTGATCCCCAAAATAAGTAAATCTCAAAAAGATTTTCAGTGAAAGTATTTACAGATCGCTAAGCTCTATTTTAAATATTTTCACAGGTACTACGTAAACCTTCACAGTTGATACGCAAAGCTCTCACACACCCAGGCTGTGATTAGCGACGATGTCTCCGAACTGCCTCCTGATGAGGGGCTTAGCGAGGTGCCTGAGGTGGGGCGGGACGGCGGCGCATTGCTTGTACCACGCAAGCCCCGAGTCGACGATCTCCCCCTTCAGGAGTGGGTGCACAGAGTGCCCTTGGTCTGCCATAAGTAATGCCATGAACAAGTCCAGACCTTCTTCCAGCTCGGGGGGACTGAAATGGATAACATCGTGTCCTTGTTCCTGCACAGAAACAGAGTAATGAAATCTAAACATTTTGTTATTGATAACTGATGATGTGGTAAAATAAACACTTAGTTCGACTAATTGAGTTTCAACTTGCATTTTACTTAATTAAGAAACATCTTGGGATATTATCAAAATACGTGTTAATATTTCACGCAATTTGGCCTGTTTACTTCGTTAGAATTATTGTTTACTGAGAGTGATGAATAAAAATGTACGGAGTCACAGTTGAAAAGTTTTGATTATTCATTACTTTTAACTTGCAAGGAAAACTTCGCTGATACAAGAAAAATGTATTGAAATTCAATTTTCTATGGGTTGTTTCTCACTCCTTCAATTTTAAACGAGCGAATCTCATGATTTTATTTAATAAGTTAAAACTCCAACTTAAACAGTGAAAAAATTCTACAGTCTGATTTTTTAAAATTTCTTATTTAAAAGCAATCAAATCCTCACTTTGCAAAGGTTGACGACATCTCGAACGGCTCGTTTCACTCCAAGTGTGCTCGGCAGAATTTCAATGCTGTCGAAAAAGCCAATGCGAAGGGACTTCTTAGCCTTGCCGATGTACAGAGCGTCGTTCCACGGTAAAGGCGCCAATTCGGCCTCGTATTGGTGGAAATCCGCTGAAAGTATTGCCTTGATGGCCTCAACTACGATGGAACTGTCCCGACCCATTACGCCCACCGTGCTGTGAACTTGGGGGTAGAGAAAGTTTAAATGAATAAATAAAGGAAAGAGCGATAGCTTGCTGAATTCTGATCTTATTGAAAGTTTATTGTAGAGGTTTGACACGCAGGTGTTCTCTAAACGAATCTGCCGCGAGGTCACGAGCGGGCTGAGCGGTTTTAGGCTGGCCATTTGGTTCGTTGGCTTCCGTGGATGAGGTGAGGAGGTGTTAGTGTCCTGGTTGTGATTGCCGGTTAGGCTCGGCTTGTGTGTAGGAGTCGTACATAGACGCTGTTAATATTGCCGGTTCAGAATTTATATGAAGTTCAGTGAACTGTGAAGTGGGGTTTTTTCCTATTTTTGCTTGGGAGATTTAATGGCATATTCTGCTTCCCAGGTGGGTGGGACTGTAGCGGTCTAGTTTAATATTTAAGATTTTGTATTAAGAAATGAAAATATTTAGAAATTTAGAATTAGATTTAATTGTAATATAAAGATTTGTTTATATCTGAACGTAACCACAGCTGAATACGACAATAGCCAATTTCATTCCAGCTTTTAGTATTTTCGATATATTGCACTAGAACCTCTTATTAGAGTAAGTACTAAGTGTTGCAACAGTCAGCCTGTACTAATTACTTTGTTCAATAGCTGATTTGATTTATACTGTTTATAATCGTTTTCTATGTATTTGTATTTATGTAACTTGTAACAATCTGTTATTTATACAGGGTTCTATACTGAGACCAGAAAAGCGTCTATTATTTCCCTCAATCCTGATCGTGAGATGCTTTAGGACCTTTTCTGGTGTGGCGTCGGCTTCTGAGATCCGACAGTGTTCTTCTCAGACGTTTGTTCAAGGGTGTTTACCGTGGACGTGCACCGTTGGAAGAAGCCGACTGCCTCCAGTGTTTACCTGACGTGGGAGCTGACTTGACCAGTCTGCCCCTTAGTTTCCCGTGTGCTCTGCATAGCCGAGCCGTGTTGGGCGCCTATCGTCGTACCCTATTGGAGCGCCTAATGACGAGTTAACTAGTCTTGAAGTTCCTCGTGGAGGCGTGACCCCCCTAGGCTTGCCTGGGTCGAGCCATCGTGTTCTAGGCCCGGTGTCTGTGCCGCTTGGGGTGGCCCATTAATGTATTAGGGCTTCCCCTGAAAGAGATACGCGGCTCTCAGGAAGTCGGCGCGTCTCGTGTTCAGTTTTGTGTAAAGGTCAATAGGTTTTAGAATTGTCGTGGGTCGACTATTTGAATAAATTTTTTTAGCTTCAATTAGCCAATGAAGTAGGTAGTTAGTATTTATATTTGTGTCCAAGTTTCTTGTCTAGATTGAATAAAAGTTCGGGTTGAATTTTATTCATGTGCCTTAGTAGGTTTTATTGTATGCGTTCTCCCTCGTACCAGTAGCGTCTCCTGCCCGGGGACATTGAGCGTTTAGGCAGCCCTCTTATATTTATTAATAGTTACCCGCTCTCCCGTAACATTATCAGTCGAGAACCCTTTTACAAATTGTACATCGATATTTTATAACTGGCTGATGACATAGTATTACATTTGAGCGGGAGTGCGCAACCTACGACTCGCTGACCTCATGCGAATCATCAGACCAACACTCAGCGCCCAAGATTCTCGTAGAAACACGTGAAATAAGTTTAATAGTCAATAATTGATATTCTCGTCTTAAAATCTTTAAAAATATAGGATAGTATTCCTGTTGGACAGTTAGCCGCTGGCAGGGTCGAATAAAAAGTCCATATATAAAATTAGGAAATTTCGGACCACAACACTCACTGCCCAGTGGATCAATGGCGCTGACGCAGCCTTTACTGGACAGACGTTTGGCGGTGGGCTTGAGGCTGACCGTGCCGCACCAGCCCGCAGGGGTGCGTAGCCCCCCGCTGATGTCGGTGCCTAAGCCCAGCATTGAACCACCGCCCGCTATCAGCGCGGCTTCACCTCCTGTTCGTGAATTTTTAAACCAACTTTTACAATTTTCAATCTTTGCCGTAACTTAACTTTTATTTTCAGCCATAATTTCTAACCACTATCTTAAAGCTTCGCGATTGTGTAACTTCCATTTTTAACCGCCGTTTTGTAATCTATAATCCTTCACGACCATTTAAAATTTTTCTACGAGCCTTGTAAGCTGAAGGTAAATATGAAATAAAATGACTTCAGTTTTTTATTTCGCACGAAATAAAATTTATAAAGTCACACACGTTACTAAAAATATTGGGTGAGATCTCGTATGATTTTTCAGGCCTTCATGAATCACGAATGTCAAGTGACTCACCTGAAGCTCCTCCTGAGGCCCGCGTGGGGTCGATAGGATGCACCGTCTCGCCCCACACGGGGTTGGAGCAGCCTGGCCTGCAGCACGCACAGGAAAAATCTCACCCAAATAAATAATATCAAAGACAATAGTGGGAGAAGCAATGAACGCACGACTAACTAACCTGACCTCGAGCTGCTGCAAATTGGATATTATTATTATTTCAAATCCCTATTGAAAGATAAGGTTGCAATACTGGAGGAATTACAAAAGTTCAGTGCTAGATATAAATAATGCAAGAGCCCGATCTTGTTCTTCGTAAAGCTGAGGCAAATATTATTATCCTGATTACTTGTCAACCAAATTTAGTAATACTGACATCCATGCCAGCTCGAATACTTAGACCCAGTGAAAATAATGCATATTGAAATGAAAGTGCTGTGACAAGAAGATTGCGTTTTCATGTCAAGTGACATCAGCAATCAGCATTTAAAGCAAATTCAAATAAAAATGCAATTTCCGTCAAGAGAATCAAGGCTACGTTAATCCTGACTCTATGTATAACCGATCATTTAAACAAACTCGGACGTTAACACCGCTCACGACAAGCACAGTTGGGCGGTGTTGGTCTTGACGAAGGGGATGGCGCCGAGCCTCTTGATGACCTGCACGATGACGGCGTCGTGGTCCGCAGGCTGCCGCAGCCTCTTGCGCAGGCCGAGCGAGCAGTCCAGACCCTCGATGGAGATGTTGTCGCTGACGCTCACGGGCAGGCCGTGCAGAGGTAGAGTCACGTCTGACATCTGGCCCAACTTGACCGCATCTAAGCTCTCCGCCCACCTCTAGTAGATATCCAAGGTGTATAGGAGATTTAAAATTTTTGATATTAAAAAAATGTATCGAAATTTAAAAAATTTAAAAATTTCAATATTTTAAAAATTTAAAATTTTTAACATTTTAAAAATTAAATTTTTTTGACATTTTCAAATCCTAAAATTTTTGACAGATTTAAATTTTCTCGATTTCTAGGTGGATATAAAATTTTTATTAAAAAATTATTTATAATTCTTTGCTAACATTTGGAAAAATTTATGAATTTACTTACTAGTTAATTTTTGGTTTAAAAAAATTCAACCATCAGTCTATGTTCTTAAATTTCTTTGTGATTTACTCCATTAAAAGTTGAATAAAAAAAATGACCCTTGCAAGTCACAATGCGTGACTCACGCGTCTCACACCGACAGTTGAAGGTTCAACAAGAATAGTTCAGTGCGAGCTCAAGTGTGATGGCTGAGTCATGACAAACAATCCACGTTTGCTGCTGCCAAGCCCATGTTGCACCTCACTTTTTTGAAGCCTATTGAACTCCCTCTGTGTGGAATCTATGCACCTTTTAACTCTGTTCAAGGCAGTAACTCTGGTCCAATAAAAATTATGAAATATTCTTTTTGATTGTCATTTTGTTTTTGGGAGCGACCAAGTTTATTGCTTGACCCTCTTAATTGTTTTCATGACATGAACGAATCATAATAATGTTCATTTTTATTTACATATTTTAAAAATTTATATTCATTTTTTACCAACGACTAACGAATCGACATCTTTTTTATATCCATTCACATTATACCGAACAATAAAATGAATTTATGAAGCCTGACCTTGGCATCTGGAATGAATTCGGTGACGCAGTTTGTGCGTTTCGATTCTTCGATTGCCTGCGCAAAAATTTTTTCAATTAGTACAAGGAATCATGCCTCTTGAGACCTTTCGAGTTATTTTTTTAAGGGTTTTGCTATGTTTGAAAACTTTAATTTGCAGAAGCTAAATGAATATATTTCAAAATTGAAATGAGTTCGACTTCTATAAAGTTTTAAAAATGCTCGCCATATGACTCGCCATGTGAAAATACTTGGATATTAATAAACTAGAGCTTATAAAATCAGCTTATAAAAATCTTTGTCATTCGACTAACCACATAAAAATTTGCGCATTTATTTTAAATAATTTTAATAGTTTGAATTACATCCGCTTTATTATCGGACTGACCATGGCCTGATATGACTGCAGTACGAGTACCGCTGATATGCTCCCCTCTCGCAGCTTCTGTAGGAGGTCGGTGGGCTTGTAGGCAATGACTTCCTTACGCTCCTTCGTCAGCAGCATGCCACTGCCTCCTGACGCGATCAGCTCCTGCTCCAAGTCTGAACGAGCTGCCACCATTTGCTGCTTGTAATCTCGATCCTTCACGTTTGATCTGTAGATTATCGGTGAAAAACATTCAAAGGTATTTTTTGATGTGAAGAGGTAAAATTGACAAAAAATTATCAATCATATAAATTTATAAAACCATTTTATCAGTCTGCACAAAGCTGTCTTGCAAAAATCTCCTATAATAATTAAAGTTTGTAAAATACATCTGTGCATAACGAGGTTCATTGCATCATCAATTCACTCTGAGTTTCGGTATAAAAAGCGAGGAAATACCTGCACAATATTTAATATCACTTAGTTTGAAACTAAGAAAAAAGTTTTTTTTTGCCTCGGACAAATAAAAAATAAGGGAACAGTGAGAAATTATATTATCCTAAATACTTAAGACTGTGCAGGAATTCATCAAGGAAATCAGTCGCGGCTACTCACAAAAGCGACGAATCTTTCTCGATGAGTCCATAGGAGCTGAGGACATCGTTGATGTTCTTCAGTACACCCTCTACAGTTTTTGTCCAGGTCGCTTCCGCCTTAGCCATTTTTCTTGAGCTCAAATTAATATGGATAAAAGTTTTGATTTTTATTCTTTTCTTACTCACTTAATTTTCAAAGATCGATCACTGCAATAACGTTATTCGAATTGATGCACGCGTATTGTTATCAAATTCGTATTATTGTCTACAAATTTCACTGAGGTATAAGATTTCGTGGCTATAACAATATAATCCAAATCACTGTTACGCCTAATTAAGAATAAGTTTTTAATTGAAATACTACTTACAGTTTTCTTTATTTGGCATTAAAAAGCACCACAAATATTAAATAATGATCACGTTGATAATTTTAGTGAATGACTTTAATCGCAGTAACCTCAATTGTCTACGTATGGAAGAAAAATTTGCGTCGTTGTTCACATAGACGCACGAACAAAATGAGCGATATTGGCACTCCTCAAAAACTCTACTATATTTCCAGGTCGTGACTCGGCAACTGACATGGCAAGGTACGTTCGAGCAGGTATCGACTCCAGCATATTTGAACAGGTGAGCTGGTCTGACAAACTTACGACATTCATCCGAGTCCCTCTTGCTTTCCAGTAATCGAAACCCTCATAATAATCGTATCATTTGAAAATTTTTAAAGAAAAATTATAAGGACGAGAATGATTATTTTCAGAAATCAATTGTTCGAGGTCAAGAAACAACAATAATTATTTTATAAATGAATTACTTAAATTTGAGTATACTAAAAAATTTCATTACTACTCTTTTTCAGACCAAATGCCCTCCGAACATCAAGACTGCGTTGGTGTTCGACGCTGTTAATGTGAGAACAGAGAAATATTTTGGTCTCGAAATACATACCATTCCTCTCTTATTGAATGCCAAAAATTACCTTTTCATTATAGTTTAATCTATTGTAATTGATGATTACTCTGTGTTGGCAGTATCGATTTTGTGCAGCCTTGCTCGAGGAGTTTGAAATACTTCCATAGTTTTCCTTGTGATTCAGTTAAGTAGCCAAGATTCGTCCCGATCGAAGTGCTAGTGACATACAATGAACAACTCGATTTGGTCATTGTTTCAAATCATTTAAATTTGGACGAACAAACGTTAGAGTTTTAATAATTGTTCCAAAATCTCAAACAATTGGAAATTTTACTAAAGATTATGAAGTCAGAAGCGAACGAGTCGTCATTTTCCAAAGAACGCTGTTTCATTCCTAGAATGGCTGCTACAACAACGAGTTACCGGAAAAGACATCGCTCAAGTTTTATCTCGTAAACCTGTCATCGGAAGACAAGCAATGAGAAATTTATTCTCGCAGTAAAAGATTTCTACTGTGAATCACTAAATTCACGCGATTTATGTGGCTAAAGCATCTACGAGTCTTATAATATATTGATTTCAAGCACTAAACCACAAAAACCGATCAAAGAGCTATTCTGTTAATTTAAATTGATATTTCCCCCAAAAATTCTCTTACTTAAATTTCCTTCAATAAGAAATACTGAGAAATGTCAGCAGAGTTTGTAAACGTTTACGTGAAGGCGCTCGTTGTGACCACATGGCGGTCTTTAAATCGAGCCCACGCCCAAACGGCCTGTGGTCTATCTTTAAATTGAAGCTACAAGGATACCTATAGGGCTCAGATCCGACCAGATTCTTTCTCTGATCGAGAAAATTTTCATAAGTCATTGTCATGTCAAGGCTTTATTTTATGCACGTACTAATCACTTTATTTTATGCACGTGCTAATCACTTGCTAATTTACATGCACGTGCTAATCACTGCATATTTTAAATCTATGTGCAAATCTGTGAATGTTTTTATCGTTACGTGGGAATATATGCACATACTTATCCTACGTTCAAATCTGCTTGTGTTTTTGTTACGCATAAATCAGTGATTCGTTTGTGTGAACGTGGCGCATTTATTATAGCTCACAAAATATGTTCCTATATCGATTTTACTCTACTTAAACTTTTTGTTCTTTTTTCCCTTCAGAGATTTGTCGCAGCATGTGTATCAAAAGGAAGTGCCATAAGTGCCCATTCTTGTACATTTATGTCGTCGTTTGGTAAATACTCATATGTGCTATTCCTCTTCTTATCCATTACTTCGTCAGCTGTTTTGTGAGTCTGTTAATTATGCAACTGTAAAATCAGTGTCACAGCAGTTCAGGAGTCGCACTTTCAATAATTAACTACAGGCAGTTATACGACCGTCGTTGCCAAAAGCTGTCATGATCAGCAGGCAGCTACAGGCCACGTGACATTGTCACCCTAGCTGTACGCTGCCATTCAGAGTTCAGTCGCCGTCTGGCAACGTGCGTAATGGCAGTGCTGGTGTCCTAAACGCTGCCAAAAACTGAAAGTTTTTGAGTGAATAAGTGAATAACAAGTGAAGTGAATAACAACGGATGTTTTATTCTATGAATGGGTGGTTCAGTTGATGTGTTCATTGCAGTTTGTTTCAAACAAGCACGCCAAAGTGATCTAAAAAATAAATGTTTTTTTGCGTAAAATTTAATAAACATCGTTGATGTTCGTTATATGTCACTAGATATAGTATATCCATTGTCAAATTTAAAAATTGATGGCTATTTTATTTTTCTAAAAAAAATAACGTCTGTTGACTATTTTATCGTTTTAATCTATGAGGATTAAAAAAGTTTTCATAAGGTCAATGTGTTTTCTCAGGAATGTTTAAATTTAATGCCAAATGAAGGTGAACTCTAAAGTTATTGCTTTTCGAGTAGTTATAATATTTTCATATGAACACAGTGAACAGGTTGAGGAAGTCGGCGTGGTATTGATTGGCTTATAAAACAAAAGGAAATAGTGCTCGATGACAATGAATGTTTAGCGCACATCTCCCAGATAAGATAAGAAAGGACATCAATAGACGTGACTAGTCCGTGTTTGTGGACGAAAATTTCATGCCAGTCTAATTCTGGCTGTACTTATTTACGTGGAATTGATATGCATTTAAAGAACCGAATATTATTTTCCATTCACACAATTTTGTAAAATTTAGGCCATAAACTTATTTAATGTTCTTCAATTGGTATATTTGCTCCGTTAGTTACCAAACTTCCGTTAGGTTATAATCAACAATAATACCTGCTAGCAGTTCGCGAAAAGTTTAGTTTGGCTTAGAAAGGAGAATCAAGGCCGGCCAATCATCTTCTGCTGCGTATAGCCACTGATAAAGCGTCCATAGTTTCCAAATAGTGAATTAATATCAGAATACGAGGCACAGGTGTGGGCAAACACTTGTGTGATGCTGCCACAGTTCAGCACATGTGTTGGGTAGAGCGGCGTCAAGTGAACAAGCTAATCGCCACGTCATTCAAATTGCTTACAAATGCATCGATGACTATCACAGTTATAATTAATTTTGTGTTGGTTGAATTTATCGAATCTCATAATTTTTGTTTCATGCTGAAATTCGAGATTTGTTTCAGTTGAAAATGTACTGAGTGGTCGAAGATAAATTACGCATTTTGCTTCTCGTGGACATTAGGTCACAGTTCCTCGATATTTTAATGATATGATTAATTATTTGCATTTGTGCATTTGTGTCACTGGTTCATCGCATTCACTGAAATGTTCCGATTAAGCGTAATTTTCAGTCCCAGCCTTTATATTTTTGTTTATGAAACATTATGTCTTATTTTTATCAACAGATTATTATTACTTTATAACTATACTCATGGATACATCCTTCGAGTATTACATTAATTACACAGGATATCAGTGCATGCGATCTTGCATGTTCTAAACTGTTATATAACTCGGCCCCAACTTTGAGGCTCGTCTTCGATAACCGGGCTCCGATGTATATTGAATGTAAGTCGTAATTTCACATCAAACATGAGTGAGAAATTTACAAATCGTAACAAATGATAATATCATGTTATAAATATAGCAAAAAAATATACGATGCCGAGAGTCGAACAATAAAAAACCACTGCCCAGTAATTTTTGCATACACCAATAATCTGGTGAATTACGAACTTTAAAATGTAAACGTGCCAATCAGACTTAGAAATATAAGTTTTTTTTCAGGCCGCTATAAATTCTAAAAAAATTGATAGTTCCATGAAATGACCTGCTATTTGAAGGATTGCCAATTTGAAGAATGATATTAAGCAGCATATAATTAATCAGTGACAAATGTAAAGAAATTGAAATATAAATTTAATTTCTTATTCAATCTTTTCCTGTAAAGGCTATTTGTATGCCATTAAAACCGTAATTTAGAATCTGATATGATTTCATGGTTCGAAAATGATTCTATAATTACTGATACAATGATACAATAATAATAATAAGATACAATAATAATAATTACGATAATATGAATAATAATACCCATGGTTCCCTAGACTGGATACCTCCCCCCACCACACCTCCCCCCACCCTGAGTCCTGCTCTGGTCACTTCACGGACCAGGAAATTTATACCCTCCTACACCCCCACAACACAGGCTCCTGTGAGTGAATAACGCCCATGGCTTATTTGCTCACAACAACTTGCTTTATAATGTTTTGGCTTGATTACATATTGTGAATGTTTGATCTTATTTGATTCTTTTGGAAAAATGTAGTGCAACATTTGAGTATAAATTGGCTTACTTGCACGAAATATTGAAATGTATATTTAATTATAGACTTTTCGTTAATTTACATGTTGAAGTATATCTATTAATTTGGATTTGAAAAATTTTCTATTACATTGTCAGGATGTTGGAGTATCAGCGGAAGAGCAACAGATATGGAAGACCCGACAGATAGCGTACGGCTACATCGCTCCAACCTTCATTTTTGTGGGCATCTTGGGGAACTTGCTCACCATTCTCATACTCAGGCACACTCGCTTTAAAGGTAATAATTATTCATTATATATTCCTCGCGAACAGTCTACTCAGAATGTGAATTTGCAAATTAATGTTACGCTACACTCACAACCGAACGGCTTCTTATTTCTGTCTAATGCACACTTCGATTATGATAATATTAACAATTACTTCACTAAAATCTTCGAATAAATTTCCAGAATATTAATTTATTATAGGATTTATAGTCTTGTAGTCTAGCGAAAAAGTTTACAGTCTTGTAGACTATTTCGCTTTATAGTCTTGTAGACTAGCGAAATTTTTGCTCGCATTCTTCTAGGGATGACGTACACGTTCTTCCGTATCCTGGCCTGGAGTGACCTGGTATCCTTGCTGTTCTGCATTTCCTTCGTGGTCCATATGCTGCAGCCTCTGACTCCAAGCTACGCAACGGCCTTTTGGTACGCGCATTTCGAAGGATTTTGCGTCAACGTGCCCATGACTATATCAGTTCTTACCGTGGTGCTCATAACCATAGAGCGATACTTCTCAGTTTGTCGACCAACTCATTTCAAGCAAATTCATTCCAATAAGTATGCCAAAATCGGCTTCGGAGTGTCGGTTGGCATAGCAGCTGTAATTTGGCTGCCGGTATGCTTCATGAAAAGCGTGCGTGAGTACACCGATTGCGACTCTTATAATTTCGGTCGTCCTCCCAAAAGTAACCAAACGTATTACGTGGCTTGCATGGAAAGGAACACGCTGGATTCTGTAGCATACATGTTTTATTCGTGGACTCGGCAAGTTATTGTGTCGTTTATCCCTATAGCGTTGCTTATAGTCCTTAACGTACTGATCATCAGGCGTTACATCCAAGTTGCCAAGAAACGCCACAGTTTGAGGCAAGCTTCTCCTGCAGACGATGAAGCCAAGAAGGATGGCGCGTGGAGTACCAAAGAAGATCGCAACCTGATCAGGATGCTGTGCGCGGTTATGATATCCTTTTCCATTACTATGTTCCCTCCTGGTATCGCCAACGCCATCTATACGGAATTTCTTTCCACCAAACTCCAGTATGAGATTTTCCGAGCTGTTGCAAACGACCTAGAAATATTGAACCATACCATGAACTTTTACCTATACATGCTGCTCAGTAAGCCAGTGAGGGCAGCAGTAAAAGGTTATTTCAACAAAGCCTTGAACTCGATAAATGAATCTTTGAACTCAGTCGAGCATCGAACCAAACCCGAGCTTCAGCACCAAGTTGATGCTCCTAACTCAATGACACAAACTTGCACAGAAGTTGGTGCCAAGAATCCATCAGCAAGTAGCGGATATCAAATTTCACCTCGTCCCATCAGCCAGGTGTGTCTTGTCCAATCCGACTCCTCGACGTCACCCATTTCGTCTTGTACTGACGAACTCTCCGAAAATCTCACCGATGATCGAACAAAATGTCCTGCTCAAAAGGAAACCTTTGCCTTTGCCAACAAAATTCTTTTGAATATAGAGGAAAGTGTCACACCTGAACAGACACCGTAGGTCGTAATAAACTTGACTATTAGGATAGTGCTCTCAGTGTTCAAATTTGTGATCAAAACGAATTACGATAAGACTTGAAAGGATTGAAAGAAGCCTAGTCTCTTTACTGTTGAAGTAGAATTCTAACGGTTGATAACAAAAGTTTCATGTTACTTAATATTTTATTATTAAGGCTTATTATTATTTAAGTGATATGTTTTTTATGGTCATAAATTTTAATTTATTTGTAAAAAAATGAATCAATGTCACTGGAAAATTGAATTGTTAATAAAATGTCTCGCTCTCAGTGGCACACAATAATTCGATGCTTCTATACAAAAAGTAAGGATAATAATGAAGAATGAAATGATGAAGCTCTTTATCTTAGATTACGTTTCACATCTGCATCAGAGTATCTACAGACTAGCTTTCGTCGAGGAACACCAGAAGAATCCAAAGTCATCGCCCTAATTATGAGGCTTGGTTTTGTTAGCCCAAATGGATTTTTTCGGTTGGTTTAGTAAAAAAAATTTTGAGCCTAACAGGAACACAGAGCAATTTCTAATTAATTCGCATGCATGTAATTTTCTTAGTTGCATTTCCTATTTTTCTAAGCATCAGGTATATATTCGTGAAAAATGACAAATTTCGGCATTCGATCCAATGAAAGGAAGTGATTTCATTAGCAGTGCGTTTTCCAGGTTGCGCTTGCTTAATGTGGTAAATCAAAGCTTTTAACTCTCTTCAGAAAAATGCGAAAATATTTTTCGAGATAGAATGCGAATATCAAATTTGTATAGCATGTGTAAATTCAATAAGAATTCGAAACTGAAAAGAAATTAAATAGTAATTTTTCAATGAATCGTTTGAAATCCCTTGACAAAAATTTCCATCAAAAATTCTTTGGTCATCAGTTACATGTTAGAAAGATTTTACTCTGCTTTTCATTTAGATCGAATTACTTAAAATATTTGTGTCTACGCAATACTGATTTATCAGCGATCATGTACAATTAGGTAATAAGTAATTTCTCTAAAGTTTGAACGGTAAAAAGCAGTTATAAAACTGCTGCGTCGGAACCATCTAGTGCACATTAGTGGGTACAGAATGTTCTACGTCGGGGGTAGATACATGGATTCTACGTCGGGGGTAGATACATGGCCTACAAATGCCTACACAGAGACAAAGATATGTACAATTTTAGGAATTAGTCAACAGAGCAAATGGTCAAACTAGAACTTTATACAATGAGAACAAGTACGTACGTAGGATCACATGGAATTCAACGAATATTTTGCAAACTCAACAATAGCGTGACTGAATTATTACAATTATTGACAAAAATACCATTTATCAATAAAGTGAACAATGGACAAGTGGAATAAAAACAATAGTATTTTTAGTGGTAGAGGTACGGCCATTGAAAAGAATCAGTGCACTGCAAAGTATGAAAGACGACTTGATGATATAACGGAATACTCGGCCAGAAAAGGGCTAAATTTATGTACGTATATAAAATCTGAATGAACACTAACATCGTACTTAAATGACATATTTTTGGCGAATTCTATGATTGATACTAATGATGAAAATTACAACTGGCTCAGTAGAACTTTTGACATAAAAAAGTATTATGCGTAGTTGCAAAAATTTAAATGGTATGGAGTTTGAACATGGCAAGATGCTTCCTAGTCAAAATTGTTCCATAATTTCCATTACTAAATGATTAATCGCACAAAATGAAAGTTTTCTTTTTCCAATAAAATGTAAATTAAAAAGACTGTGCGGAAGCATGAGAGTAAATTGCAATGAATAAATAGAGACATATTAAAATTGAAAAATGTTGGAGACAGCGTCATCTAATGTAGAATATCTGAACACTACGTGACTCTAGGAGCCCTTGTACGAATTCTAAGTAAGCTAAAGCAAGACTCACGCAATACATACAGCCTCCCTACACATGCGGCACCCGACTTGTAACGAATAGAGTAGTTTGTAAGACAAGTTCTTCGCTGGTGTTTATAGTTTACTTTCATCGCAATTTATTAGAAATTCTACGCTCATCAAATGTTTCGGCCAATTGAATAATCCCCACCAATGATGTAATGAATATTTTACTTTAGAAAATCGTAATTGACAGTGTACTTGACATCAGCTGAAATTACTTTAAAAAATTAAATTTTTCATTCTATCTATCCGGTTCAGTATCATTTACAAATCCTGTTACGAATCTCATATTCGGGCTCTATATATAAATGCTTTATTAAAAAATATAACTTAAAAGTTATGTCATTCAGGCTGCTTTTCCATGAAATACTCGAACAGTTTAATGAAAAAGCCTATGAATTCGATTAAGCTTAATTATGAAATGAATTAGAAATTTGGATAGGTAGGCGGTTTCTCTGTATAATGTGAGTCAGGCTTGAGACACCTAATGTGAGTCAGGCTTGAGACACCTAACGTGAGTCAGGCTTGAGACACCTAATGTTACTGGAACGCATCTGATGGGTCGTCGCTTTGTACAGGATGATTAATCTTCTTAATCGCTACACGATAACACCTTAATATTTACTAGAGATGACTTTGTGAATAAATCTAAATAAACTCGCTGTTCTGTTTTCTTTTGACTTCTTGAAAATCAGGCTATATGCTTATCTATTCTTCTTTTTACCAAGTTAAAAATTTTAAGGAATTTTATAAATGTTGTGATTTAAATTGTTCACCATTTAAAAGCAAGGTTTTACCTAGCAAGATGATAGAATTGTGAATTAGTAAAAATTTTCAAAGATTTAAAACTATTGGTTCTGTTGAATAGTTTGAAAAATTGAGGCGCGATACGTTCTTTAGAACAGAAGCATCACTGAAATAAACAACTGACGCCGGAAAACCGCCTGTAGAAGAGAATTCATTCCGACTTCCTTCATAAACGAGTGAAGTTTCATAACATAAAATATGCGGTCTAAAAAATAAATAACGTTTCATTTACACGTGATATCTCTTTGTTCATAAATAATAACGAGTATTTACAAATGTAGCAGCCGAGCGACAGCATGCATATCGAAACGCAAGCGGCGAGTGTCAGTGACAACCGACGGTAAGTTTTCATCATAATTTTGCAAATTACGAAGCAATCTTTGCAAATCTCACGCATAATATTCTCTACAGTATTTATTAAGAGGTTTTATTCAAGAAATAAATCAAACAGAGAGTTAAATCAGCTTTCGATTCAAATCAGCCGCATGATATGTTCCACAACCTGCTCTTGATAATGTAAAATCTTGGTTGCATCATCCATGTTAGGTGCATCTTAAACGTAAGTTCAATTTTCTAAAATTTTTCCCAATCCAATAAAAATTGCATAAGTATTCTTTGGATTTTAAATACTTATGTTACATATTTGTGAGGCTACACGGCAGCAAAAGAGAGCCTGCACCTTGAGTATGTGAGAAATATATAGAGTTTGTATCGTACAAATATTACACGCATTAGAGGTAACTTTATGAACGATATACTATTGAGGGCATGCTCAATGTTAAAGGTGTGGTTAGATTATTCGTTTTGAACACGTTCCAGCAGATACAGTAGAACGGGATCCCAGGCTTTACATTCAGCCGTGCAGCGGGGAGCTGTTGCGTAACTGTGACTCGTGCACCAGTTGTAGGGAAGCTGGTCCCGCTGAGTGGGAGCTGGATGTGGGAGGCGGTGGGACTGATCCCGACGAAGAGGTGGTGGTCGCGGGCACGGGACTCGCGGTTACGGGATTAATAGACACCGGTGAGTCATGGGACCGGGACGTGACGGTGGGCAAGTGGGACTGTGGGGTACTGGAGGGAGACTGAGACGGGCGGTGAGGAAGGTAAAGAGGTTTTGAGCAAGGAGATGGCGACCGAGACCCGGAGCGAGAAGACCTGCGGTGATCTTGGACAACCTGGTGGTGGTATGGTCGGTAGTGGAGCTGAGGAGAGCCTGATGATCCAAGCCTTGAAGGATGTACTCCATGAATAGAAGCTGGCGGAGGGGTCGCAGAGGCCGTTGATGCAGGCGGGTCGTTCAAGTCATTGCGCTCATTGATGCTCGTGTTCATACTTGACTCCGAATCACAAGGCTCGTGCTCCATGGAGCGCTCCTCATCTTCGTGCAATTCCTGCTTGACGTGGTGCGGCTGATATGGACTCCTGAGGTCATCGCGGTCTCGAAGCGACCTATCCGTCTCCATTTCATCAGCTCTCATACGTGCGTTGCGGTCATCGCGTGAGTCCTGATGGCTCATATGGTCATCCATGCGATGATCAGGTCGCATGTGATCCTCAAGACCCATGTGATCACGCCCGTGCTCACCGGACCCCATATGGTGATCGACGGATCCTAAGTGAGACGCGGCCCTCAGCACGTCCCCGAATGTGGCTGAGTTAGGTGGTGGGGACTGCTTGGAGTCGTGACACATGGCGTTCATGCCCAGCGCTGTATTTAGCAGCGGGATATTGGAATCAGCGAGCGCAGCCTGCAAAATAATCTGGAGGTCAGAAAACCAAACACGAACATTAGAATACCGGCGCTGCACTCGATTGTAGTACCGGATAAACGAACGTTATTTAAATCATTCCAGCGGTTCATCATATAACCAACTATTGCTACATGCGACGTCACTTCCATAGTGGTTTGGAATCAAAGGAAATAAATGATTTAGATAGTGAAGGGTTGACGTACCTGCAGACTGGCGTTCAGAGCATCGCCATAGAAAGTTGGACTGCCAGCCAGGTTTGGGCTTTTCGTGCTCGCTACTCCCCTGTTCAAATAAACATCCCAAATTAACATCAAAAAAGACTACGATTTATGGCAATCTTTTTCCTTCAAATGGAGTTGGTTCTTATTAAAATTTATCAAAGAATTTCGGATGAATTTATAATTCAATCAGAAATATTAAATTTATATAACGATTGGATCTGTTGAAATTCATGTACATTTGAAAAATTCCCGGAGAATTTAACACTTGCAACGAACTGAAATATTGAAGTGCCTTCACTTTTCAGTATGCCGCTGAAATCAAACTGATAATTTGAAATTGTGCCGGGAAAAGTAATTACAATAGGCAGAATACTTTCGTGTGTAAGGTTAATATTAGTTAAACATTTATTGGGAATTTTCCTGTTGACAGAAAGGACGATTCGCAACGAGGTCAGCAAAATGGATGTAATTAATAAAAGCGACTCGGTTAAAGTAATTGAATGTTGAAGGGTTTCAAAATAGACATATATATATTATTTATGATATACACAAACATTTGATTATTATTTAGGGATTGACAATACATGTACTGTAGTGAGAACAATGAACACTGTTGGAACATATTTCTGTTTAGAACTATGGATAACAATTATGTGATTATGTACAGTGTCATTAGCACATAAAAGAGTAAGTAATAAAAACATGCAAGCTGTAAAATTGAATAATCTTGAAAAGTGTAGCATTAGCAAGAAAATAAGTGTTCGGAAAATGAACTCCATGCAAATCTCACCGACTTGAGCCGGTGACTGTACCTGATAAGCTGTATTACCTCATCGCTGTAGCCCGTGAATCAAGAGGTACATCTTTGACAAAAATTATTACTTACGCAACTGCTGCCTTTGGTAATATTATTATTAGATTTTTGGTATAAAATTAGCATTGATTGAGAAGAAGTTAGAATAGATTATACCTTGACACAAACCTTGTGTTGATTCGCCGCGCGTTTTGATTTAAGATGGAGTACACAGAAATAGAGAAAAAGACGAAAAAATATTTAAAAAGAGATTTGAAATTGCCGCTATTGGTTCTATGGAACAACTAGAGTGAACTATTTTAAGCGAGAGGGTAAAATTGTACATATCAAGCCGATGAAATTTTGAAGAGCGTTGAGTCTTTTTAGTGTATTAATTGAAGACACAACAATCATGACATAAATTCATTATAGCCAACGACTCAATTTGGTCTAAAGCAACAAATTTGCAATATCAAGTCATATACAATCATATGTAGGAAAACATGGTTCCGAATGCATAATAAAGGCGAATCGATAATCTTTATTTCGTGAGAGAAAGTGAAAAATTGAATTAACGAGAAAACGAAGAGAAGCCGCGCATACTTGCCGAAAATGCCGCATACCGATGAGGCCAGAGAGGACTTGGTCTTGCATCAATATATTATGCTTCATTAAATACTAGTTATTATACCCCTTGTCTCCACATCCACAAGTGTTCCAATATAGATAGTAAGTTCGCACGGACTGCGCCTAGAGCGTTGAGCGGAAATGAGTGGAATTACATGGAATAATCATAGGTTAAAGGTAATACATTGAATGTAAAATTATAAGAAGAAATTCCATTAAATTTAATACCTAAGATTGTGCCCAAAAACTAATAACTTTAGTGGAAAATTAGACCGTCACATTAAAGGACCAATTAGGGCGATTTGATTGAACGATTTTTTAGCATCAAAATCATTGCGGCTGAACTTTAAATTTTATGAACACTTGTGAATGAGAAGTTGTTACTGAATTGAACAAATTACTGCAAGGTTTCACTTAATTGCTATAATAGTTAAAATGTAAAGAGGCAAATTAAATATCAATTGGACGTTTATGTGAATGCATGAATAAACTATCAATAAAAGATCGTAGTTCAGGAAGAATAAGTGAAACTTTTGCAGTAATGCAATTCTTCGGAAACTGAATTAGTTGTGTGTTATGTAGATAATTGTGCGATTGAAAAGTATTCAAAACACAATATTTTGTAATAAATAAGATACCGAAATCAGACGGAAGAGATAGGCTAAAAAAAGTAAAATATGTTAAAGTCAGAGTTATTATTGTAAGACAATCTTCGAATAAACGAAGATTGTCAGATATTCTATCCTTGATTCGTAGCCAAAAATCACAGTGTAAATAAACCCCGATAGAAAAAAACAGTGTTTTTATTAAATATGAAATTGAAGAGTTAAATAGTAAGCAAGATCACAAGTCTCAATAGAAGAGTCATTTACGAATAAATGATCCATAAAGAAAATAAACAAACGTCGTAATAGCCTAACTGCAAAAGAATAGCTTGGTAGTTAGTGAATTTCAGGAGGCTCGACTTCTAAGAAATGTACCGAAAACAGATAAAAGTAAACGAAATGCACCGGAAACGCACCTTTCAGATAATAGGTGCAGCAAGATAAAAAATACTATTGTCTTATAAAACTTTCTTGTATAAAAGTCATACGAAAAAAACTCGTAGAAGTAAGAATAGAAGAAAAAATGAGATATTATTTAAACAGAGATTAAGGCATGAAGCGGCACGAAGAAACATGGAATATCGATCATGGAAGAGATAAAGGTAATAAAATCAGATAGGGAATGACCTAACTAAAAACTGATAAGATGTCGGTAACAGATATTTAAAAACGATAGTGAATGGTTGAAAAAGAAATTGAACAGAAAATGTTGTAGTAAAGTAAAAAATCTATTAATATAGTATCTAACTCAAGGAAAATTTAGGAGAAATTTAGATTAAAAAAAAAAAGAGGTAGATCTTCAGCATGTATGTGGGATTCAGAGAAAAATAGTGTCTATGTTTTAGGTGTTCGAGCAATGTAAAGTCTAAAAATTGAAAATGTAAATGTATTTGAGTCAACTCTTGTTAGACAAAACATTTACACTCAGAAAACATGGAGTTATAATTGAGTTCTTATCACATAAATTCAGTGTGTTCATAACGCTGATGCTTGTCAACATATAACGTCTCTACTGTCATGAGTGCTCTTGAAAATATACGTCGATTTTAATTGGATTTGCGAATAAGGTCTAGGAATGTGCGTCACACTAATAATTTTATAAATAATTGAATTACGTTGACCTGAATGTTATATGTGAATAGTCTTCCAGAAAAAGAAAAACGATAATGCAATAAATAAGGTCTAATATTTGATGTTTCAGTTTTGTATTAGTTTGTTTGTATTATTTTACTGACATATCCTATTCATTTTCATGCTCTCAAATTAAAATTAATTTAAAACTTTGATTCCGTAACAGATTTTCAAGAAACTATCATTCCCTTTGATTAAGAAATGATCACAATTCTTACAAAAAATATTTAAACTATTTTCAGTTTCGAGATGAAACATAGGCAGACTGAACTCTTTCAAATTTTTTCTGTTATAATATATCTTTTATTCATTTTAAAAATTGATAGTAATAAATTATAAATATAATAAAAATGAATTATAGAGGTAAATTATATTTTATAATATATATTATATGTCTAATAATATTTTTCTTGTGTATTTTCGAATAAATTCTTCATGCAGGACGCATTGTGGATTGTTTTCCAAACCAAAAAAGTGGTGATCTTGTTATCATAAATATATTAAAAAAAATCTTAAAATTTTGCATCCAACTTGTAAAAAAAAGTCCTAATGTTTTTATGGCATAGGTTTCTAATTTACTGTATTGATGAATTATGTGTTGTATTGAATAGAAAATCGCGTATCTGGAAAAGTGTTAAGGAATTTGTAAGTTCAGTTATTGTATAAGTATGTTTCCAGGTGCATGTGATATGTCTTTCATGATTTAAATCATAAAGATTTGGATCCCAAAGCAGAAATGCTTACTGTGGGATCTGTGGAAGCCCGCCAGCCCCTCCACCCCCACCCCCGGGGGAAGTGAGCGAGTGGGGAACCCCAGAAGATAAAGCTATGGAGGTGGCAAGACTATGTTGGGGATTGTGGAGGTGGGAGGTCTGGGGAGGCGGGGGTGGGGTGTTAGGATCATATTTCCTGGGGCGCCCCCTGGCGAGGTGACGTCTCTTCACAAACTCTGCGTCGTCGACCATCCAGAAAGAGCCAAAGTCATCCTCGTAGCGTACAAAGCACTTGTGCAGCGAGAGGTTGGTGCGGATGGCATTCTGGACACCCAACAACAAGATGAGAAGAGCGAAAAAAGAGAGAGCATCAAATCCATAAGCAGGAGTACGATCCTTCTACGGAGGAGAACAAGAGATAAAAAAGAGGAACAAAGATCCGAGTAAATGCACCTTGTGCCCATAATAAAGTCTTCTGGTAGCCATACATACAAACATACAATAAACGAAGCCATCACTTTACCCGCATGCAATGCTATTATTTAATCTGAATTTCGCTTAAAACGAATTTTACTTTCATTTTCAAAATAAGAAGCAATGGAATTGACACTGGCAAGTTTATAGTAAAAGTGTCAAGTTAATAACAAAAATTTCAACAAGCAGCAGGACGTGGATGGCGTCGCGTACAAGAACCAGAAGGGGCACAGGCACAGGTAAAGGGTTGAGGGAGGGAGTTGTGCAGTGAATGACCATTGTCCTGAGTGAACACCGATGCATGTCCAGTGAAATAATGTGCGTGTGAGTGAGGGCATGGGACCAGAGTTTGCACATATCATAGCATAAAGTCACTGGGCAATGACCCGTTTTTATGCTATGGTACAAAGTGCGTGTAGGGATGCGCGGCTCAAGAGAGAGTGAGCCACGACGGACATCTTGGACATACCCTGTAGTCGCACGCTGTGGTCGCCTCTTGTAGAACTCTACTTCATCGACTGTCCACACGGCGCCCTTGACGTTCTCGACGCGCATGAAACATTTGTGTAGGGAGAGGTTGTGGCGAACTGCATTCTATACGGAACAATACACAGAACGAATAAGCAAAAGCAAATCAAACGAGACCAAACAACTAATGCAACTCCAAAAATAAGGCCAGTGTGAGCACAGGATTCAAGGGCGCTCGGTGGAGTGTCAAAATTATCTGATGATGGATTATTTTTATTAATTCGGATTCAAATAATGAATACAAACAATTAAAATAGATGCTTTATGGGCGAAATTAAAAGAAAATATCTATTTACTCCTAAACGACATCCAAATTTCAGCAGTATGTTTTCAACTGATTTTTAAGGCTGCTAATGGAACATAAAATATAGACTGCATTTATACTTAGTTTGTAATGTTAATCTTTATTGCAAGAGCGTAAGCCACGAAATCTGTGCCTCACACCGGCCTTTGTAACTGAAAAAAGACCACAAGTCAATATCATTAGCAGCCAAAGCGATCTAGTCTGGGTTAACTCCTACAGAAAAGTCTCGTTAGCAAGCCAAAAGGTGCTGCCTATGAATGGTTTGCATGCCGGAGCGCAACAACACTACTTCACTATGATGTCTAATGTAAGCCACAACACTACTTTACTAGTAGCCAAGCTAGGCAACAAGTCGACGGTCTGAAGGTCTTTTCTAAGCCAAAAAATCACGTCCTCAACTATAGCGGCTATAGCTGCACAATATCGGACACTCACAGCTCTGATATGCTCCTAGATGAAATAGTAAGGATTTAGGTAACCAAGTTATTTGTGATGCAGCTTCAACGCTCACATTTTCGATGTACTGATTTTAAAGTGGATATGATGAATGCAATCACAGCTGTCATAATTATAATGTATTATGTTCTAGAGATAGAAATTTATCACAAAAGAATTGTCATTTGAGTTCTTTGCAACGTTATATTTCATCAACAATTTCTTAGAAATGAATCAAATAAACAATTGGTCATGTACATTTATATTTTTGTCCGTACGACCATATAATTAGAACTATATTATTAATTGTTGATTATGATTTTCCGGTTTTGAATAGTTCTATGAATATGCTAGTATTTCTTGGCTCTATAAATAATTTTAAACACATGCTGGTATTCCAGCGGTACAATTATTCTTTAAGACTCGAATCAAGCAAAGCTTATAGCAATCTGTAGATAAGAAGTCTAAACTTAAAGCAGTGCTGGTAGAGAACTGTATTAAATGCACCTGTATTTGGTGTGCTACGCTTGATTTTCTGCCTCGAGTCAAACAATACTGGTAGTGACCATTGTGCCGCAATTTACTGCTACACGAGAAGCGGCAAGAAGCAGGACTGCCCATGCAATGAGTGCCAGCGACGCATGTAAACTCGGATCTAAAAATTAACAGTGAGCCAAAGAAATACAGGCATATTGAACAGCGCGTAATTTTTGTTGGCATCATTGAAAGCAGTCATGCACCGCAATATGGAATACGGGAACTCATTGTAATAAATTTATTAAATGACTTCGAATGTGGACGTAGATAGTAAACAAATGCGAAAAATATTTTTTTATATGTTCTTTTAGTTAAAAGATTGAAAAATTCGATCGACTGCACCTCATTTTAAAACAGATTGTGTCTTGTCCAACGAATAAATTTGACATCGGCAATGGCATTTATTCTAATACAGACTATAGCATAGGGTTCGGCATGAGTATTCAAAAAGAACTGCAATTGATTTACATATTTCCTATCGAAACCTCGTGTGTACGACAATGCAAATACTACATTATAGACATCAAGTTATTAGATCCAAAACCATTGAACTGAGAGGCATGGACGGACTACACATTAAATGTATTAATTAACTTCTTACGCCCAAATTCCAAGTAGGCAATGGGTTCGATAAACGCGTGCTGATTTTGTTGGCTTCTTAATCCCGTAGACCCAAACTTATTCCGAGATTTATATTGATTTCCTGTAACTTCAACGTCGAAGCCTCACGGGTAAAAATCAATTGAACTGCTTGTAAAAGTCGAATGACAAAAATAACCATTGAAATTATTTGCAAACATCGAAAAAACTGCTGTGAATCGATGTTTTGTGTTGGATTTCGACACTTCTGTTTCTCGATTGACTAATTTGTATCAGTTCATTTCGAATGAAATTGGAATCGGAAAACGATTTCATATCAGCATTGAAAGCTTGTTAATTCAAACTAAATAATCGCTGCAAAAATAATTCAACTAGCATGAAAATAAGCATACATTTAATAAATGAAATTCATGAAAATTATCAAAATTAGATTTGCCAGAATTAAAGCGAAATATGTTTTGTAATAGTTTTTGAATTCGTTCAATGCGCGTGCCACATCTAACATCCAATTAAAATAATAGCACATCTATTGTAAATTATCAATCGCTTAATTTCAGTTAGTAAAATAGATCTAAGTTGGAGCAAACACACAACACGAGTTTAATTTTCGTTAGTTTGACGACGTTTAAAGAAAAAATACGTTCAAAAATTACGACCTACTCGTTCCCGAAGCTCTTGTTTTTGCTGACAACTTTGTAGATAAATGCTGGACTGAGGGACACTCTTGACAATACATTTTTACTTCGACTGTACAAACTGTTCAACTGAGACAGTGACTTTTACTTCAACAACTTTGTGCACTAGTTCGAGTCTTTGAAATAATTAGTAGTCAACGCAGACAAAAACAAATATTCAGAATAATAATAATGAAAGCTATATAAATGAAGAAAAGTTTAGAATTATCATTGGTCGGAAAAATGATTTACATTTTTTTTGTCATAGGCCATAAAGATATACCAAATAATAATGGAAGATGTATTTGCTTTGAACTTGTATACGAGAATTACTGATCGCTCTGCAGGCGTGCACAAGGAAGCAGGACTAAGTGAAGCGTGTCAAAGTCGTGATTGACTGGGATGATTTTCGATGCACAATATATAGAAAAAGTCTATATAATGGATACGTGCTCAACTACAGGATGGAATAACTCCAGTTGCATCTATTTCAAATGGATACTAAGTACAAAATATCCAGTTTGCAATGATTTTTATGATAGTATATCGTATCAGATAGTATGATGGTATTCATTTCACTTCATTAGAGTGATCATTTGTGAAAGTCTACTGACTCGGTAGAACTTTACATAATGGAAGACGTATTTAAACCAGTAGATTATGACAGTGGACTTACGAAAGTAGATATGAACTGTGAACATCTGCTAGATTAATCTTCAATGGAGACAAAAAGTTTATGGCGAAAATGTTTAGATGTAAACTTTCCTTCGAACTGAAATGCAACTGGAGTGAAAGATTTGGACTAAAATCCGTTGAAGCTAATCTAATAGCCTCAGAAATGGGTTGGGAAGACGACAAACCACTTTTTCTCTTCAGTAACTGGTGACACGAATTCTAATTTCTATTCACATTATTCCCATCATTCTTCGAACGACAAAGAATGAATTAAATTCGGTAAAAATTGAAAGAATAAATGAATGAATAAATCTTTAAATAAGTTTGAGAATATTTTGAAAACGAGGTCTGAGCCTAAAGATGTGACTCTAACAAACTGTACAGACATCCAAACAATAGCGCTTTTTTCCATAAATGAGCAAATGCGCTGACAGAGGTGAGAAAGAATATCAAAATATTTGTCGCGTCCCCTCATTCCATATCTGAGCGAGCGGGTCAATGTTTGTGTACAAGAGACGATGTTGCTCCCATCAGATTTTAGCTTCGATTGGAGTACATTATTGCTTAAAATTTCGATTAAATTCAATTCACCTTGTAAGCACTCTTTGATCTAACGAAAATAATCATCAAATGAGGCAGATCTAAGTGACGGATTTTCATTTCCGTTTTAGCTCTTTCGTAGGTTGAGACATTAATTTCAAGTATGTTACATCAGGGGCTTAGAAAAGAGCAACAACGTTTCATTAGACACCAAAAGTGAATAAATCAGGCCCACAATATAAAGTCAAGTAAGCCTGAATTTATTCACCCGTGTAGTGGATCAGATTTGAAAAATCATCGGTGAATCAATGACGATTGGCCATGCATCGGCCATCAAACGGCTGCAAACAATCCACCAATATTTTTTAATGAATCTAAGTAGGTTTAAATAATCATCCACACCAGCAACTTCATTTACTTCAACACTCAAAAATATTTTAAGGCGATTGTTTGTTACTTTTTATATACAATTTGTTCGTGAAATTAGTTTAAAACATTTGCTAAGTGTGGATGAAGTTGACCTTCTACAGTCCGTATCATTCGCGGGTCGCGAAAAAGAAACTTTGTCACTAAGGAACGAGCTCATCTTAAAGGAGGTAAAGGGTCAAAATAACGTAGGAAATTTTCTTTGATGCAGAGAACAAGGCGTTAGCTGACGTACAGTGACAGTCGAGATGGAACACCCATGAGGTACTTAAGTCTTATAGTCTGAAACTCATACTTATAACGACCTGTGCTACACAACTCATATTCATGTCCAATCATCAGATAAAATGAATCATAATGATCGATTCTCTTCATAATATCGATTGGAACCGTGAATATACCAAGTTATGAGAAGCAGGGTATTAAAAAATGCACAATACTGTATCAGCATCGTAAAAATGCTCAATTTTATGATTGTGAATGTCAAGTCTAGGAGTATAAGAAAATATTACAACGTAATCTCTATGCACAATGCAATTATAAAGTGCAACGACATAAATTCATATACATCGTGAATACCTTAATTAAAAAGGACAATTATCACTTAAACAGCAGAAAAGAACATAATTTCCTTATGACCAATTGTGAAGTAATTAAAATTGTACTTTAAATCTCTCAATTTGAAAGAAAATAAAATTCACATGGCTCTGTAAAGAACCGTGCAAAATCGAACACTGCCTGTAACCAATTAACAAAATAGAGGAGAAAAGCATGAAAAAGTTAAAATGTTCAAACAATTCACTAATGCAGATATCCGCATCAGCTTCAAAAAATGTTCCTAAGTTTCAACAGAGATGTACAAAATATTCATATGTGACGAATAAAAAAATAAAAAAATATTTATCAAGGTATTCAAAATTTTAACGTATGACTTTAAAGTGTGAATTCCCTCAGGAAAAATAGTTTACAGTAAAATTTATCAGGTACCGAAATTTAATATTTTCTTGTGAACCTGGAGGAAAGATTTATAAATTTTACCAACTACATTAGGATTAATCTACAGTCTACACCAAGGTAAGCTGACCTTGAATTGATGAAATCTTAACAATAGTGATAAAAATTTCATATTTTAAAATATGGTAATTAGTGAATAATCTGAATGAATCTAAAAGACGGACTGCGGATCTGACCTTCCAGGTTGCAGCGTTACGCCGGAAGTACGCGAACATCGTCTGGAACCAACTATAGATCTCGTTGAGCGTCAGCTGTTTGTCTGGAGACTCGACGATACTCTGTCGAACACCAAGAAATACTTACTGATAATCATGTAAATATCAATGGACAGTCGTGTTATCGCACTAATTTTGTAAATGGATGAATAAAATATTATATGCGTTACAAACATTTTGCTCTAAGGTCGATTCATCAACACATTTTTTCAGGCAAATAACCTTAAAAGAAAAGGACTTAAGACGGATGTGTTATATTACTGATTTGTTGAAACTCGTCAAACTTAGAACTTCTAAGAAATGCATTCAACAAATGAGAGCAGACTGGAGCAGTGCTTACCTGCTCATGGCCTCATATATGATTAACTCATGTTTAATTCTGTGTGGTATATTAATTATAATTCTATAGTTGACGTTATATTATCTTTCTTACCCAACTGCAATACCTACAAGACTGCAACTGGAGTTATCACACCATTCATGAAATTAGTCACGGTTGTATTTAGTTTAGCAGAGTTAGCCATGCAAATATTTTCTGCAAATACTCAACAAAAAATGTTTTACAGGGTTGGCTGCGTAATTGCTCATTTCTCGATCACTGAAAATAGATTTTTGACTAACAAGAAAATTATTTCCCACTCACCTGTCTTATTAAAGATGCATATGTGAAGGGCGGCCGCACTTCGTTGGATTTATAAAATTCTCGATTACGCTGCAGTTCTGTAACGATAAATAGCAACTGTTTAAATATACTGATATATGTAATTGCAGTAACATAATCGCTCTTGCCTAGTAGAATAACTTTGGCTACAGTAAAAAGTAACTAACACATGAGTTGTACCTATTTCAGCATTTGATCATATAAATATATGACAATGTCCGTCCTATTCACACTAGTTCAAAACAGGGATGCTCGTTTTAATCGGAGTCATATTTTAAATTGATTAGTTTTTCATAAATTCTTCATATATTCAGGCAAGTTATCATTAAGTTATAACATTATTTCAAAGAAAAACAGAAATCACTCCTATCATAGAATTCATATATTGACCCTCAGTGTGACAGAGAACTATTAGAAGCCGTCTGATTCGTTCATATCAAATGGCATTAACGACAAGCTGCGGCCACTTGAGCATCAATCTCGGTAGCAATGTTCAAGCGGTACTTAAAAGTTGAACAAAGTAGCAATAGTTCATTGGCTCATGGAATAAACCAATACTTTGAATATTCCTATTAAATTTGTATGGTTTACGAATGAACATTTAAATGTGTTATTTTTTTTCACTTGGGCGAAATGTGACATTATAGGAAGATCACAACTTTTATCAATGCTAGCGAAAAGATTGAATGAATTTTTACACGTATTGAGCGTCTCCAAGCTCGCAAATCATGTGTAATCGAGAGACTCGTTTAAAATTAACAAGGAATGTGAAAATAATACTCTGCACAAGAAAGTTTTCCTTGCAGTTTCTTTGATATTTTACTAAGCTTATTTTCTATACCAAAAAATGCGATGAAGAAGCAGTCAAAATTAAGAGAAAAATCACGAATCATGACAATCCTGGATTTATTAATGCAATTAGATTTAGTAGCGAGAATTTCAAAGCAAAGCGATTCAGCTCGAAAAGCAACCAAATCCAAAGAAAGGAAGTAACACCGAAGAAATAGAGGGTAAGCAGAATTAAAGTTATAAGAATTGGAGAGAGTGAGGTAAGCAAAATTTATATGGGAACAAATTAGAAGAGAGGATGGTTCTAGGACTCGACTCTAAAGTATCCCACAAATCACATTTAGGAGTATAGAACTTATGTTCATATGGACACAAATTAATTCGGTGAGAACTGGAGAACTGTGACGCCAATCATGAGGAGGAACGGATTCTTTTACCAATATTATTACCAGAGCTAAAATTTATGAAGTATAGTGACTCCAAATGATGAGCATAGTGAAGCATATCCGAATAGAAGTGAAATAGTTCTGCTTTACCGATAAAGAAGGCGTTAGAAAATTTCATATTTAAACAAAATTTTCACGGGATCGATTAGAAATCATATCTAAGTTAACATTGGAAAAGTACCAAGTGTCAAAGAGAGATACATTTAACGGTATTTAACTTCTACAGGTTTGAAGGAGGAACAGAAACGTACGGACCTTGTTGGATGTCGAGGCCTGCGCGATCTAACATGTACGACAGACCTGGGGCACCAGGGCGAGAAAGAGAGAAAAATGTCATTGCACGCACATAACCGGCGAAATACAATGCAATTCTTGCATTAAGTAAGGAACATTTTAGGATAGGGAAAAGAGATCCAACGGAAAAAGCCTTAAAATGCTGCCTCGGTTGAAAATATTCGCCTTAAATTGAAATATGGAGAATAAGTAGAAGAGATTTTACTGAAAATTTTGAAAAAAAGCAAAAGACTGCCTCGGATGAAAATCTGAGATGAGAAAATTTCATTACATACAAAGATAACGTGAGAAAATGAAAACAAATTCCGTCTCGGATTAAGATCTTATGATAGACAAACTATAGAAGAATCAGAAAAGATAAGTGTCGAAAACAATGGAAAAAACTGTTGACTCGGATGAAAAGTTTAGGATAGACAAATTTTACATTTAGGAGAGGAGATACCGCATAGAAATATATTACGAAAAAATGCAATAACACAATAATTAAAATTTGTAGTAAGGACATTGAAGAGGTTTTAGCTGTTAGGGAAAGATAAGGAATGGATGACTGAAAATGAAAACAATTTTTAAGATATTAATGACAGCTTATCAAGTAGGTTTAGGAAATTTTTTATGGAGTAATGGCCGTTTATTTGGAAGATTGTTTTCTTAGCCGCGCATTATGAAGGTTTGAGAATGTGATTTGTATAGCAGGAACTATTTTCCCGGCACAAATTTTGAAAATATCTAAGACATCCAAGAAAATTTGGAAATATCTTGGAAACATCTAAGATTTATTTTCTCATGCTGGATCATTTGATTTAATTGATATAGTTTGCATGGGCATGTAATGAAATGATGCCAGAGAATGGACAAATAAATCTCAAGAAATTAATCTTGTCCTCAATAAATGGAGACAAAGAGTTTTTCGAAGTCAAGCCTCAAGATCCAAAGAAGAAAGAATTAAAAATTTTCCTTGTAAGAAAATTAAGTCGCAAAATCAGCTAATTCAGAAGGTTTAGACACCAAATCTGAACAATTCAATCAAATTCGAAAGAACGAAACGAGTGATTCCAAGTGTTTACCAAGCATATTCGTGACCGCAACCAACACAAAGCAAACAAAGCTAAAACAAAGCAAATGGCACTAATGAATCGATTGACCAATTACCGACTATATGGTGAGGCTCCTGCTTTGGCAAGGGTGCTAATCACCTAAGCTACTGATAAACAACTACGATAAGGAGCACGCAGTGCGTCTCAACACATTGCGCGACGCCACGTATTAGTGCGTAGCAAATCAATGCTCCGGCCTCGTTGAGACTCCTGTTAAAAGAGATCTAAACGCAATGAAGTCTTTGCTACTTATTTCTTAAGTACAGTAACTCGATTGCAGGTGAAAATGTTAGATTTACGAACGATCATATTTATTATTAATAGACGGAAAGAAGGCTCAGTTGTGGTTTGCCGAATGCCAGTAGAAATTTTTCGGACGTCACGCAGGAATGATAGTCTACGGAAATTGAACCAAACATTTAATTTACTTTAAACTATAATGAAAAAATTCAATTTTCGTGCACAATATTATTGAAAAGTTGCACAAAATTGAAATATTTAATTTGAAATAATTCAAAATCAAAATGTGCACTACGAACAATTAAAATCTTGTTCCAATTTTAACTTTTCATAAAAAGTCGATAGGACGTTGAATTCTTCACTGCGACTTATTCGTCAACTGAAGACTGAAATTCACGAATCATTACACGTCTCCATAATTGTTCCATCCTTGCACACTGAGGGCCAATTGAAAGATATATCTTAGCACGATCAAGAAAAGATTTATAACATTGAGACTTATTAATTTCGTTCACGCATTACCTTCAGTAATGTCAAGAGCAGCACGGTCGGCAAGCCGCCGTCTAACGAGGGCTGTATCGTCTAGAACACCTAAGACACGGTGGGCCACAGTTACACGGTGGAAATACGAGTGTCCCAACAGCTATATACTTGCACTGATAAACGCATTGCCAATTTATTTCGATATGTATTGAATTGGCTGTAAACGTGGATCACCATAAGATTGATAATCTAAATATCGAAACAATTTTAAAAATCTGTATCATTCTGTTCTTTCAAAGCAGTGAAACAAATTAAATTAAAGTTATCACTGAAAAAATTTTACAACTGAATATACTAATTGTCTATCGGTATATTCTGAATATTCTATTCTTCAATCTTCATGATAACTTCTGAGAGAAGAAACAAATCGATTGGCGTCTTATCAGCTCACATAAAAATTTATAACAGCTAGAAAATGACGCAAAGACAAATGAAAAACTAGTTGATTAAGCTTAATGTAGAGCAGAGACTAGAAAAAAACTGTAGGATTAGGGTTAATGTAAAGCATAACAGAATAATGGTTAGGAAAATCGTGATTACTATCGGCCACACAAGACTCAAGACACAGGGAATAAGCACAAGAATGAAACAGTATGGGATGTACCAAAATTAAATGTGATTCTCTTTATACTGAAGCATGTTGAACCGACTTTTTATACTCAATTAAGGTTACGTAAAATGCAGACAAACAGAGCAGGAATTATGCTATGAATCATAATTTTAGTAAATAATGTTTTGAAAAACTTGAACAAAAATTTATGAGTTCTTGGAATGCAAAGAAATAAGCAAACGAAAATTAATGGAGTGAAGCTAAGGAAGAAAAGCGAACAACAAAATTTAATGTCATTGGTAAGTAAGTTGCGTGTAATTAAATGCAGATCTTGAAATTATTTAAACGAACAAGCATCAAGAAAAAAACAAAGGCTTTCGCTAAAAAGAATTATTTGCCCTCAAGTGTAATGTTATGTATTTGATACTGCCCTTATTTGAGGGTGACAAATGAATTGGGTAAAAAAGAAAAATATTAAATGTTAAAACTTAAATTGGTGTTAGTTAAAGGGAAGCTCATTAATTACTCGACTCCGTTAAATGTTTATAACTTGATATACAAAGTTGATTTATAGGGTAACATGTTTAATCTCACATTTCATTGATATTTTTAATTACATTTAAAGCTCGAAAACAGGTAATACTTCAATTTTCCGGGTCAACAGGGGTTATCGATTTTTCTCTCATTTGAGCTCAATAAATGATGGCACTTTTATGTTCTGGGCATAATAGGGGTTTTTATTGGCGTTTTCTCTGTGGTGTCAGCTCGACTCACCCGGTGTCAGGAGCGCGGATTTCTCCGTCAGCCGCCGCCTGATGGAGCCGCACGCGTTGGGTGTTGGGGGCTGCATCATGTGGGGGGGTCGGGCCCCCATCCCTCCAAAGAGCGACACGGGGGGCAGTGGCCCACCCAGTGGGGAGTGGGCCAAGCTTAGGGGGGAGGCCCCAAGACCCCCACCCATAAGACCGGGGCCGAGGGGGAGCTTGCCTAGCATGCTGCTCGGGCTCTGTCCAGGAAATGAAGGCTCATTAATCACAAAGTCGACATTTTATTTAGTAGATCTGTTAAATATATTGAGGGTCATTTTTTGAAACAGTGAGTCATACTTCGTGAGAAACAGGAAGTTTTTCGCTAATAATAATATCTATAATTTTCTGCTCCAATTAACGCAAGAATTTTGCAGAAATAGGAAAGTTGACGATGAAATGAAAGCTAAATAATACCCCGTTTCAATGTTAACTGGGTGTTTTATTTAGGACAATAGGTGTAGTAACGAGAGTTACCATTACAATTAGTGGACAAGGTCATACCATGCATACAACCAGAGTGGGTATCCTGATCCCATGAGTGTTGGTAGGAACCATTAACCTCTCCTGAGAATATTATTGTGGATTAAGATAATAAACACGACATGCTTGAAGGTTCAAGAAGCTCATTTGCATATAATATGTTATATAAAACGAGTATAATAAATAATGATAATAAAAAATATACATATATGTATTCATGGAGCTGATATTTTGAAACTCAAAACCCCACCTGGGGAGGCGCGTGCTCCAGTTTGGGGAGGGAGGGGAGCGGAGGCTCAGGAGACAGCGAGCGTCCCGACGGGGCAAACGGGGAGGCTTGCTGCTGATGTTGTCGTTGTTGTTCTTGCTGTTGTTGTTGCTGTTGCTGTTGTTGTTGGTGCTGTTGTTGTTGCTGTTGTTTGTTGACGTGAAGGTGACTCATCATCGCCTGGCACAAATGAGCAGTTAAAACATAGAATAAAATTAAAATGAATCCAAAAATATTATAATATTTCAGTTCAGATTCGCGCTCGGTCAATCGTAATTAAAATTATGAATTAATTGTGGGTTTAATTGTAAGATTTTATGATTCATTGCTCGTAGTACGACTCCAATGGTTTGTTGCATGTTAAGCAAGGCTGGCTTTATTTGCTACAATTATTGCTTGAGGCTTTCCATTCACTGCCTTATCATTTGAGTTCATAATGCGATAATCAACAAGCTCATTAATTATCTGACAAATAGCATCCCGGAACGAGCGAATGACGTTAAATATTATTATTGCAGTAATATCAAGTCAGGTTTATGTTCCAGCAAGCACCAGCACACCGGCGATGATCAAGCCCTCAGTTACCACCAGCGACATTACCATCTACAAGCGCAGTCCTCCCAGTCCTCGCATGAACTGGCCTTCAAGTCTCCTTCACGCCACTCGCAGACCCCCAGTCCCCAACGCTGCATTCAGGCTCCAAATCACCTTATTTTCACACTTAGGCCTCCCAGTCCCACTCTGAACACATGCAGATACTCCAGTGGCCCTATGCTGTGTACAGTCCAGTCTCTGGCAACTCAAGTCGCTTACATTCCTTCTCATGCAGCACGCAGTCCCTCAGTCTACCCCCCCAGCTGCACACAGTCCACCAGTACCTCATGATGCACACAGTCTCCCAGTCTCCCCTGCTGCTCCCCATTCCCGCCCTTTTCTGCCCAAAGTCTCCATCCCCCCTCGCACCTGTAGGCGGTCTCGCTCCTTGTTCAGCTGCCGCTCGAGCTGACTCACGACTTGCATCTGTACGCGCGCCTGTGCCGTGCTGCGGTCATCCAGCGTGTGCTCTGTGTTGAGGTGCCTGCGGGCGACAAGAGTTACCAGAGTGTTATGTTATACATAACAAGGATGTGTTAAGGAATGAGTGAGTTATGGGCGAAACATGGTGTGTTATAGGAGAATCATGGGTGGTTTATGGTTATAATATATAACCATAAACCATGGTGTGTTATAGATGAACCATGGGCGTCGTATGGTCGAAATATGAGCGAGTTATGGGCGAAACATGGTGAGTTATCGGTGAACCATGGGTGGTTTATGGTCGAAATATGAGCGAGTTATGGCCGGAACATGGTGTGTTATTGGGGAACCATGGGCGTCGTATGGTCGAAATATGAGCGAGTTATGAGCGGAACGTGGTGTGTTATAGGTGAACCATGGGCGCCGTATGGTCGAAATATGAGCGAGTTAAGAGCGGAACATGGTGTGTTATAGGTGAACCATGGGCGTCGTATGGTCGAAATATGATCGAGTTATGAACGAAACGTTGAGCGTGTTAGGAGCGAAACACAGACGTTTTAAGGGCGGAACATGTGCGTGCCATGAGCGAATGTTATGGTCTAAACCTGCTCATGTTATGGGTGAAACATTAGCGTGTTATAGCCGAAGCACCGGCGTGTTATGGGTAGCGAAATAACATGGAAGGAGTGATGGCAGGGACGAGCAAGGTTAGGGCACAGATGGGATGAATCAATTTCAAAGCTCTCACTTATAAAATAATTTCGGACTCGAGTTAATAAAAGTGTTCCAGATATTCAGGCATTAAGGGGAAAACGAAACATCTTAAAAATTCTACGTGAATAATATCATTAACAGAATAGCAAAATTTACGATATAAGAAAGTTAAAGCATGAAAATATCAAGGCATCCATAATAAAATTCTTACTTAAGGAAGTAATGAAGTTCGTCGCAGACAGCCTCACAGCCCGGCCACTTGCAGACGCCGTGGCCGTAGAGCGGGTGGTGGGTGACGCCGCCGTTGCTGCGACGTCCGCCCCCACCCGTCTCCTCGTCGTCACTGACCCGTCCACCGTAGCCGTTCAGAGTCTCGCTGCTGCGGCCTGTGGTCACGTCATAAACAGATAATTATTTACGACTTAGATAATTATTCACAAATATTGAAACTTAGTATTTCGGGAAATAGTGAAACTTAGTATTTCGGGAATATTGAAACTTAGTATTTCGGGAAATAGTGAAACTTAGTATTTCGGGAATATTGAAACTTAGTATTTCGGGAAATAGTGAAACTTAGTATTTAGGGAATATTGAAACTTAGTATTTAGGGAATAGTGAAACTTAGGATTTCGGGAATAGTGAAGCTTAATATTTCGGGAATATTGAAACTTAATATTTTGGGAACATTGAAACTTAGTACCTATTTCGGATTAGAGAGAAACTTAGTATATAGAAATATCGGAAGACGCAATATACCAAATAACGTCAAGAAAATATGCTGTGATAATTATTAAATCATAAGGATTTGAGATATTTCTAAGTATTTCTCGAATATTGAAAGACTCCATATATGAGACTCAAATATGAATAACTTCTAAATGTATTTATTAATTGAAAAGACATTGTTCATTTTCATATGAAAATGCGAGTTCAATACGAAAAAATTTTCCTGGCCTATTTTAACGCAACCGAAATTTTGAAGAACTTTAGTACAGAATTTGGCCCTTTTCAGGGCAGTAAAAAACGATCATTATTTTTATTAACTTATGAGCCAAGTTAAAGTTCTCAGGTATGAACCTTACAAATCCTCACTCAACAAAGATTCTTAATATTACCATTTTTTTATTATGTAAATTATCAAATTTATTCCACCTGATTTCACATGGAAAAACCCAGGTTACATATCCAGGCAATATCCCAACATTATTTAAATATTATAGATACACGCTATGTATTTACAGCACAAGTCTTCAAACAGTTACAATTATAAAGATAATTAGCTAAAGATAAGATACAATTAAGGTAAACCAACTAGCACAATTCCGCAACTCATAATCTCATATAAATTTAGTATCAATGTTTTTATAATATTTGAATGATCAGAAATTGGAGATGGGAGGAAAATTGGTTAAAAATTTTAAAAGTGATTTCTATTTTAATTAAGGTCAGTGAAAAAATAATGTTCCCTTAATGGGAATTTCATGCCAAGTATGGGCATAACTATACTTTATGCATAGTTAATTTAATAATTTGTTAATTATTAATAGTTAATAGGTTAATTCTACAGATATTATCAAGATTAGGTAAGACGCGATTTGGTTAAAAATATTTCGGGATGTCGGGATTCTATCTGATTAGTTACGGACTAACGTGATATAAATATGAATAAATTTCTTTTCTAGTAAAAAAAATATGTAAATAAAATATAGAGAGAACTTTCTTGTAGTTAAAATATACGGACTGACCGTTGGGTGTAGGAGGTGGATGAATAACAGGCTTTGAGTCGCGGTCGTTATTATTGTTGTTGTTATTATTGTTATTGTGTGATAACATGAGGTGGGGGGGGAGGTAGCCGGGGGGTGAGGGGGTCTCGCTGCGCTCACCCCTCTCCTTCCAGTGCATCCCGCCATCTCCTATGGGATGAAGGTAATTCAAATAGAGAATAATTGCTGAAAATTAGAAGAAACATACAATAAAATAATATGAATCTTAGAAATATATCAAGAAAGGATAACTAAAATGGCTGGGTATCAAATGTTTTAAGAGAAACATATAATAAAATAATATGAATATTAAAAATATGTCAGTAAATGATAACTAAAACGGCTGTGAATTAAATGCTTTAAAACAGAAATGATGTGAAGAAATATGATTGAAGAACACCACAAGAAGAATTTCTGAAAGTTTTACTCCCTGACCCAAATATGTAATAAATATACCTAATATACACTTAAAGAAGTTATATTAATGTTAACAATAATTATAAAAAGTACTTTTCTTATCAATGATTGTAGGCAAAATAATTACCTAGAGCTGTGAATTTTCGTTCCAAAATTAAAAAAATCGTAAAATTCATAATAAAAAATCAATGTTTTTTATATTATTTTTGATGTTCACCATTAAGATGGGAGTGCTGCTGCAGTAGAGGATGCAGTGCAGAGTGCTGCAGAGCTGAGTGCTGCAGCAGGTAGTGGCGCTGCACGGCTTGTAGCTGCTGCACGAGCTGCTGCTGCTGCGCGTTCAGCTGCGCCAGAGCACCGCTAGCTTTACCCTGCAGCACAAATATCAATTGTGAATTTTATAATATTTTATTTTTATATTTTTATCTTATCTATCTCAGATGTTTAAATTAAATTTATTCATCTAAGTAAGAATTAATAAATAATGTGTCGTTAATATTGGAGTTAATTTAGAATAATATTATAATATTTTATTTTTTATATTTTTATCTTATCTATCTCAGATTTTTAAGTTAAATTTATTAATCTATGTAAGAATTAATTAATAATGTGTCGTTAATATTGTAATTAATTTAGAATTATATATAGGTTTTCAGCATTATTAAGTGTCATCACCAAATAATTGTCATCATGTTCTACAGTATTTACTACACTTCTTTTTAACTTCACTTCTTGTTTGTCAGCTACAAATCTTATAATCGATATTTAACACACTTAATTCTAGCTGTTCAATCGATCTGAAATTTTGCACAGGTGCGTGAAGTTGGAGACAATGCATGAATCAATTGATAGAATAAATAACCTTGAATATTTAATTTTTTATTATTAAAGGAATTAAAAATTATTTATTTAATATATGAAAATAAATATAGAAATTTAATGCACATGTGTAACATCGGAGACACTGGATTCTTTAGAAGTGTTGTCTTTAAAAGGTAATTTTTTAACGCATATTATTTTAGCACTGCGACTGCGGAGTTCTGTCTGCAAAACACGGTCGGTTATCGACCCTAGTGTGGGTAACTATGAGGATGAATTTCCGAAATACAATAGAAAATGTTTATAGGAGTTATCGGCTGAAAATTACTTGAAAAACTCCATATTCACGCAAATATTTAGAAGCATACTGATTTATCATGATAAAAACAATTTTTCGTCTTTTTCAATGTATAAATTAGGCAACTTTCTGTATTTCTTTGCTTCCTGAATAAGTTTTATTTATATGACTAGAGATTAAATTTTTTATCTACCTACAAATGTCCCAGCCTGGTAGGAATATAATTGTGAATGATCCTTCCAATTCGATAAATTTCCCCAAAAATGATAGGAGACTTCCGTGGACTTATTCATAGTCTGCGTGTCTTGCCCAGCAATGGCAATTCTGCGACCATCACTCAATAATGATTTACAATTCACACAATCAATGTTCCTATCATGCAACTGCCACTCACACTCACCCTTCTCACGATCAACAACAAAATGGCCACTGAATATAAAACTTATTCAAATTTAAATACTCTTGGCAAATAAAACACGTCAAACAATCGGTCAATTAATGGCCACCGCTAGCGTGCGCATTATTTTTAAATGAATGTGGTTCAAAGAAACAGTCTTGACGTGCAACTTGAGCGACGTTTACACAACTTGAACAGTTATGAATATTTGAACTGAAATATACGTGGTCACCGGGAAAAAATACCCTTTAGAATGAAGGTAGTCAACAGTAACATCGGAGTTGAACAATCTTGTTGTTTGCCTAGTAAATGTAGCAACAACGTAAAACTTTATTTAACAAAACTCAATCGCTAATTGCTAGCCAGGACACAAAATATACAATCAATGTGGCTTAACAATTAAATTCACACAGAAAACTGGAACGGATACCTTAGTGCGAGTCAACAAACTTGTCGGGAATCTAAACTCAGACAAGTTTTTTTTTAATTTAAACAAGCAAACATCGTAACTTTTGTGATCGATGTCTAAATATTGAAGAAAGTGGAGTTAGTGTCACGTAGGACAAGTGGAGCACGTAGCAAACAACTCGTGGAGCACGTGGCTTGGAGAGCGCGTGGAGCACATGGCTTGGAGAGCGCGTGGAGCACGTGGCTTGGAGAGAGCGTGGAGCACGTGGCTTGGAGAGCGCGTGGAGCACGTGGCTTGGAGAGAGCGTGGAGCACGTGGCTTGGTGGCTTGGAGAGAGCGTGGAGCACGTGGCTTGGAGAGCGCGTGGAGCACGTGGCTTTGAGAGCGCGTGAAGCACGTGGCTTGGAGAGCGCGTGGAGTACGTGGCCAGAAGGGCTCAACTGGCACGTGGAGCACGTGGTACTTGGAGCGCTGGCTAACGACGCGAGGGACACGTGGAGCCATCTTCTCGTAGATCGCGTGAACCCATAATCTAAATTAATCCTTTATTGAAAATTCATCATACCAAGCACCTCCAACTTAATTGGAGCGCATGGAGCCACTCGCCTCAATAGCCTCATTTCCCCATGGAGTAAATAACCTTATGAAGACCTCTAGAACTATCATATGGAGCACATCGACTCCTTGATCTGGAGTTTACCTTATCAGAGGCCTGGAGCAGCTGGGTCTGCTGGATCATGTTGAGTTGAATCTGTTCCTGGAGCTGTCCCAGCGCTTGCTCCAGCTGCTTCCGACCAGCCTCAGCCAGTTGGTGCTGCTGCTGCTGCTGTTGTTGCTGTTGCTGCAACATAATTGGAGACAAATTATCAACTGATGCTAGTCAATTTATCTTTTGATAATATTATAGCCTTCAAAAATAATTGCCACTATATAATTTATGTATTGATAATATTCTTGCTTTGAAAAATAATTACGTTCATATTATCAAGTGATATTAAACTTGATTTATAGAATCCAAATTCAAAATCAGGTTCGAGAAAAATTCTCAAAGCTTTTGGGATTCAATCTTGAACGCTAAATTTTTTCTAAGAAATTCTGTAATGGTTTTGTTCACTGAAAAGTAATAATATCAACAGTTCCAGATCAAATTCTTCCATTCGCACGAGGTGTGGTTTATAATATAAACAATATATTAATGCAATTTAGGGCGAAATAGTTTAATTTAAATTGAATAATTAGTGCGAGTAAAAAATTTTCAGGTACGTAAGTTGTTAGGTAATTTAGGCCGAAATATTTAATTCGATTGAAAATTTTTCATGTACGTAAGTTGTCAGAAAACCACATTGTAATGAGTTCAAAGAATACCTTGCTTCGTTATTCAATGCTTCGATGTAACTTCAACCCAAAACTCTCGGCATGGCTGTGAAATTACCAGAAACGAATGCACTATTTGCAATTTCAAACCACAAGTTTTGCGATATAAGTTTGGTTGTTTACAAGACGCGTACGTGGTGCGTTTGCACAGCTTTTGTTTGCATTTGCACAACAAGAAGACAATGTAAGCAGAGCGCGAGATGCGGTGATCGCAGCAGCGCAGGCCTTCTCTTCGCAACCTTAAACTCGATTTTTTATTTCCATCAACAACGAAGTCGGAGTTTTCCAGGCGTACTTCGTATCACAAACTTTATAGTATCTAATTAATGTAGGCAACTCCGATATACTTGTCAGCGCGAATGGGTAAATAAATTTTTGGCTCAAATGTTCATAGAAAATATGAGTATTTTACAAGTTTCATGTAAAATAAGGACATGCACTGAATACATTCATGACAACCCAGGCTTAACATTGCTACCTTCTTTTTTACAATGACTATCTTCACAAAGCTAATCTCATTGAATTATTATTAACAATCAAATTATTCAAGATGTCATAGTACATCATTTCTGAAGCACAAAACATATAAATCATATAAATTTACATGATTTTATACATATAACATATAAAACAGAGGCAGCATGAAAATCATGCGGAGTGTTCAGCAGGCGCAGCTGCGAAAACAACATTGCTGTGTAAAACAAAACAAAAAAACAAATGTGGAAAAGGCAGGCAAGTTCGCTTCTTGCACGGCACCAAGAACAAACAAATGAGGAGAAGTGCATGGAGCTGAAGAACAACAATAACAAACGCGGCAACGACAGAGGTAGCAACTGCAACAACAACTGCAGAAGCAAATTCGGCAACAACTGCAGCAACAACAACAACTGCAGAAACAAGAGCGGCAAAAACAGCAGCAACAACATCAGCGATGACAACAGCTGCAACAATAGCGATAACAACAGCGATAACAACAGCTGCAACAACAGCGATAACAACATCGATAACAACAGCTGCAACAACAGCGATAATAACATCGATAACAACAGCGATAACAAAAGCGATAACAACAGCGGTAACAACAGCGGTAACAACATCGATAACAACAGAGGTAACAACACAGAGGCGGAGAAAACAACACCGTGTGTGGTGGACAAACAACAGAATTAGCAGATGGAGCGCTTGAATAAAGGGCTTATATACGAAATAACATTAATTATATACAAAAATATACATACAAAATTGCAGCAGCGGTTACATAAGCAGCTATATATGACATTTACATAAAATAAATAAAAATATTTACTGCGATCACAATCTTTGAAAATTTATATAAAATATAAAATAAAATAAAAAATCACCACATCAACTAAAGAAAAGACGAAAACAACGTTGGAGACGTAGAAGTAATCAACAACAGCACTAATGACAACAAAAATAATGGTAACAGTATAAAAATAATCACATTCTCATTAATAGCTGCGAAAAGATTAATAACAAAGGGAAAAAGATTAAAAGACTGATAATAATAACTGCGAAATGAAAAATAACAGCGCAAAATCACAACAATGAAACTAACAGTGAACACAACGGCATCAATAGCGGCCACAAACAACAGCAGCTCCAACCACAGGAATGTCAACAACACGGAGACTGGTACTGTGAAAACAACAAAAACAACAACGGTTACGACGTAAACCATAACAAAACTTTCCACAATGCTAAAACAACCGCAGCAAGAACAACAACAACAACAAAAGCCGCATCAAGAACAGCGTAAATAGCAGCAACAACAAAAGCGATAATAGAACAACAACAACAATCGGAGCAAAAACAGCAACAGCAAAAACAGCCGCAACAACAACAACAGCCGCAACAACAGCCACAACAAAAACAGCAACAGTCGCAGCAAAAGCAGCAGCAAAAACAGCAGCAACAACAACAGCAACAGCCGAAGCAAAAACAGCCACTGCAACAGCAAAAACAACAACAACAACAGCAACAAAAACAACAGCAACAAAAACAACAGCAACAGCCACAGCAACAACAACAACAGCAACAGCAACAAAAACAACAGCAACAGCCGAAGCAAAAACAGCCACAGCAACAACAGCAACANCGGGTGGACTGAGAGATGGCAGACAGGGACTGGCTGAGTGGCTGACAGACGAGTGGGCAGACGGGTATGGACGGACAGTGCTGCAACAAGATTGCCCTCAAATGCCCCGAGTTTTTAAGATCAGTTTTGCACAGCATTTTTAGGATTATTACATCTATTTTTTAGGAATATTTTTCCTGGAACATTTGAATTTAAAAGAGTATTCACTTTCTAATTTGTTTGAGTAACAAAACTGTTTCAACGTTCGTTGACTGGTATCGATTTGGATATTAAATTGATTCACTCGAGTTCTTCAGTAAATACCAGATTAATTAAAACAAACAAATTCGATCAGTCTTCATTGATCAAGATTGCATTTATTACGACGACAAAAAGCTACTCGAGGCTACGGCTCTTGTTCTACATCATCGTTTTGGCGTCAGCATGCAACACGCCATGTGATAAACTTATCTTATTTATAGCTTTATAAAGAAATACAATAATGATACTAACGAAATAATAAAAACGCTATTTATTAACGAAATTCACAGCACGCCGAAAATGGGTGGCAAACTCCAAAGATTTTATGATATTTCCACAGCATCTCCAGTGCAAAAACAAGATCCGGGCCTTCAGGCAGGCTGAGGTGCGGACCTTCTCGATTGTTTAGTAAAAAATATGTCTCATTAACATAAAAAAACGTAAAGCTTTATGACAGAACTCAGTTGAGTTTAATGTATCACTAATTTACGGATTTAATCTTACAAACATTAATAATTTTTATTATAATTTCCTCGCTTCAAGGAACATGTATGTCATACTTTTGTCCAGGTCATAGAAGTGTAAATCATCAATCAATTTATTTTGATTTTGATTAATATTTTTTTGCTGAAAAAGTCGTAATCTGAAAGTTCGGATACAAATAAAATTTATTGTACTCACTTTTATCCCGAAATTGTACTGTTACTATTGTCAATGATTGGTCCCAAAAAATATTTATTAATTATAATGATAATACTTAATAATAATACGATCCCTTATAGAGGCATATCCTAAACACCATTAAACATCTTTACCAAATAAGACTTCTCATTATACAAATGCATTTGAAAATATTTTCTTTCAAGTGTTTCATTAGACTAAATATAAATCAAGTTATAATTATACGTTATAATATAGTATAGTATTGGTCAAATTTTCCGTAACTGAACTTTATACTTATACGGAACACAGGCCGGGGGACTTTAAACGTGCGTTTGCCTTGTTTATTTGAACAGACGAGAGTCGTGGATAGAGCGAGGGATGGAGGGTGAGGGATGTAGGAGCGAGGGAGGGAGGGTGAGGGATGTAGGAGCGAGGGAGGGAGGCTGAGGGATGTAGGAGCGAGGGAGGGAGGATGAGGGATGTAGGAGCTGTCTCTTATACACATCTAGATGTGTATAAGAGACAG